GCATTGGGCCAACTGCCTCTCTTGTTGACTGACCAAATTGGTGGTCATTGTTCCTCGCGGATAACCCCGTGAACCCCCTAGAGCTGACCGCGACTTAGTCAGTGAGATGGAAATCGACTGGGCTCCTCGCAAGCCTACACCAGATCGTAGTTAGTGTAAGGCACGAGGACTGAGCTTCACGGCCCGATACACTACACAGAAACCGAATATCGCTTCACTTTCATTCCAAATTCTTTGTCTCAGAAGACAACCACGGCCCCATGGGTGTAGGACACTAATGGTGGGGTTCCTGTCAAGCGACCCACTTACTGGATCTTTTTTCCTGTTTGGGACAGGTCGAGTCCCATTCAAGGAATTTACCTCCTTCATACTTTCGTACCCTTGATGATAATGTGAAGTATAACCTGATCGACAATCGTGAACGAACTAGCCAAGCACTTGGGCAAAATAACGAACTGCCTGGTCTCGCTGTTGCACTCTCGACATGGAGTGGGCCGAACCAGTTTGCAATTTCAGTTCATGTTTCGACACACCGGCAAGAGAAAGGAAACGTGCAGTAAGCTAATTCTCAGGCGTCCAGCGAAGGCGAGTTTCTCGTCGAGAGACCATTCTCCAGACGATCTTTGAGCATATTAATTAGTGTAGTTACATCAGGCAGACGACGTGACAGGCCTGCCTGACCACTTGCTTGGTGGGTGCCGAGCCTCTGATTCCCCGTGAGTTATTAAACATATCGACAAGCAGAACGGAGCAGCTTCCGTTTCCTCACCAACGCCGCGGGACTGACGTAGCGGAATGCCTGTTGTCAGTCATATGTCTTGATGCAATATCAAACTGAAAACCTAAGGGTTTAATCGCTGTCTGCTAGTCAGGAAGACAACGTGTACCTTACCCGAAACTGTGCTGTGGAAAGTGGTCTCAAATGGATGTCCGCACCTGTCTCACACTGGTCAAGTTCACGTGGGAGCCACGATTCACAAGGGGGATTCCCATCGCCCGGGACCTCTCCCACACCCAATAATTGATCCGCTGTGCGATCAACGAGCTCCTCGAGTACACTAGAGATCGGACCATCTGTTAAACTCAAGTTGATGGGACCACAAGCAGATTTTTGCGCGAGGATCAGAAAGCAGAGTAATTGACTAATTAGTTACTAACCAACTAACAGGAGGTGGACGACGTGCAACATGACTTCAGCACCGCAGTCCCACACTAACGGTTCGATCCGGCGAACAGATTTCCATATTCGGCAATTTGGTAACCTTAATGGACATTCGCGACCCATTTGACCGGTTTCTCGCTCGGCTTCGGCCGCGATGTGCTGCTCAGCCCAACGCCCCCTTCTCGTTTGGCTTCAAGCGACAAAGCGAAGCTTTTGTGGTTGCCGATCCGATCCAGTGGTTGGGCTCGCTCGTTTCCATCCGCCGGTTTCACGTTTTGCTCACCGGTCGCTTCACGTAGCCGAAAGGCTAAAGGCTTTTTCTCGGTTCGCAGCTGAAAGGTTGATGTTCGAAACTCCAGGTTTTCCCCGCAGCTGGGCCGCAGACAACACCAGTAACATGGCAGGGGATATAGTGTACCCCTAAAACTTCAAGGACTGTGTCGACACTCCTGCTCAATGACCACGCCGTTTGCTCATCCCCGCGTCAGCATCGATCAACGAAGCCCGGTCGTCCATTCAGTCAAAACGTCCATGTTCAGCCCCCCCATCCACGTTCCATGCCCAACACAAGGGGTGGTTGAGGATCTCGCGCCAATGGATCGCCAATGTTCATCTGTGCAGCGTGCGGCAGGCCCCCCAGCGCCATCGTTTTGATGTCACATCACAACTTTACCCGACGGGACAGTCGCATACCGGTTAATCTCAACCCCGGAAAGTCTGCCGCGCACCGTCTCGTCGGGCCGCTCGCTTCCACTCGTTGGGTCGGTTGTTCAAAGAAAATAAGGGTCTGGCTGCTGTGGCGCCCAATGGCTCAGACAACAATTTTTCCGTGTGTCGTGTACACTACATAAAAAATCGATGAAAAAAATTCCTTCCCCGGCGGTGAAGAAGGGTCCTGCAGAACCGAAATTCCTGCTCCGGGAGCTAATTGTCATTCCGATCCCACACTCATCACAGCATGGCATGGCATGGCATGAGAGACATGCTCACTCGCCTCTGACGTGATTGTCCATCTTCTGAAATTTGAGTCTTGGCAGGCGCGCACCCTTTTCGGGTCCGGGGCATCCAGGGGGTGCGCGCGTGGTTCGGCGCTTGCCCGGCTTTGGGCCGGCGGCTCTGGCCGGGTTGGGGTGGCGGAGGTCCAGTGAAGGGGGGCCGGGGTGAAGAGACAAGGGGAAAGGAGATGCCTGCCGGTAGTGTAAGGTTATCATTCGAGGTTGACATTTGACAATGCAGAAAGGAAAGAGATGCCTGCCGGTAAGTTGTAACGTTATCATTTGAGGTTGACGATGCGAAAAGGGAGAGAGTTGCCTGCCGGATTCATTGCCTTGGCTTTGAGGTTTGGTTTGGGTTTGGTTCGGTTCGGTTTACCGCCGGCTGGCCGACGGTCAACCCCTTGATAACATGGGTGGATTGATCCTTCAACCCCACGATGGTCTAGTCTTTCTCATGAAGGAAGGAGGAAGCATTGCAAAACCTTAAGAAGATTGTCATATGATGGACTTTGTATACTAACTAGCAGGGGCTCATGAGCCGGATTGGAACTCCTCGTCGGACTCAGCTCCGAACATGGTTCGTTACTTGGGACTCTTGTTACTATCTACCCTAATTATCCCCTTGCCGGGGTGGTATTTGTCACAATTGAGCAGTCTCGTGATAAACAGCACGTGGCCCGATTAAAGGATTCGTAGCCACGTTGTATTCTGTCCTGCAGGGTTTGAAGTATCCTTGAGAGGTACAACTGTCTTGATGTTATGTGGCCCGAACGGTTGCAAGATCGGAGGGTTTTCGGTAATTTTGATCCTGAGTACACACTACACAAGGAACCTTGGAGTTTTGTGTTCCACCTCTCGGATCCCGCAAAAATTCCAAGCGAAAACAACCGTTGAGACAAGGGCATAACGACACCCGTTGGAAAAGATGGGAAGGTAAGTTGATCGAGGACTGGAGAGAAACGGTAGGAAACGGAATGGGGGTGTGTGAATATCTACCTCAGCGCGGTGTTTCTCGTGGAAGCCTTGAAAGAGAAGTGAGACGAGACAGAGAGGTATAGTGTCACTGTGCTTGTCAATGTTGTGAGTCTACTATGTGATAAGCTCGCTTCAAGCGAGCGTGGTTGAAACTGTTATGTGAGGAAATCCCAAGTCGAAGCCATCACAAGTAATTAAAGAGGTGAAAATACTAAGCCCTAGAGTTCTTCAGGTCTAAGTGAGAACTAGTGAACTTCCCATTACGAAGTATCCAACAGCAAGACAGAATCAATGAATGACTAAGCTTACACCCTTCATCGGTAGTCGAGTTAGTAGACACTCTTCGTATCACGACAAGGTTATTCCCCGTAATACCTTGTAGCCAAAGAAGGGGGGTGTTGATTGGCCATAAGATGACGACGCCCCCAGACGGGTATCTCCAAGCCTAGCTAACCAGCGAAAGTATTTCCCATCTTTGGATACTGTTTATTTTGAAAAGACTAAAGAATAGAGCACCTGAGGTGGCTAGCATGCTGGTATGTGGGCGTTGGGGGAGGCGCTCTGTGGCCAAAAAAAGCGGCAGACCAAGTCCTTGGAGAACTTACTTTTCTACAAAAGTGAAAAAAGGCCAAAAAGAATAAATCGAGGAAGTGAAAGAAGGCGAAAAGGAGCAAATCAATCGAATGTTAATGGATTGGACTCAAGGTATCGGTTTTAGTCTACCCCTTTTTTTGGCCACAGCAAGGGAAAGGAGCAGGGTTACCCCGTCAACCATCGGACGCTGAAGGTCAACTTTGAACGTAGGTTGAGTTTATCAAGCGGTTAAGGAAGGCATTATTCACGACAAATGATACAAGCTCATGCCATTTCTTTTCCTATATCCGTAATGCGTTCATTCCAGCTAGCAACAGTTTTTAGCAATCCATTGTCGAACATGGTAATCAAGATTTGATGGGGAACACAAATCACCCCAAGGTGGCATGTTGCTGCGCTCATCAAGAAAACAACCACCAAAATTTCTCCAATGACAACTTGGCCGAGTGGTTAAGGCGACAGACTTGAATTTACCACAATTCGCTATCTGTTGGGTTCGCCCTCACAAGTTCGAATCTTGTAGTTGTCGTAGATTTGTTTTTTGTGTGCGTGTGGAGGGCGGATGGAGTTGGGGGACCGATGCTTGTATCTTGGGAAGAAACATTGGGAGGATTTACGGTTGTGGTGGTTTACGGTTGTGGTGGGTTCTGGCGGTTTGGCTTGGCTTTTAATGCAGGTTAGGAGGCTGTGACATACTTGCAGCGTGGTTGGGGCGGAATGTATGAGGAATGTTATCTGCATAGGATGGGGTCTCGTGTTTGATTGGAACTTCGAAAACCTACTGGAGTTACACACACTTAGATGTCTCAAGGGAGAGTACTTCGTCTCCAGCCGGGGTTACACTCTTTCTGCCTCCGCTAGGGGTGGTATTGCTCTAGGGAAGTAGCTGAGTTATATGGCCACTGAAGATAGTGGCCCAGGCACAGCGTAAACTACCTACCTATGTTACTTTAGTAGCGAACCAATAAAAAGAAGTCGCCAGAATATCGACGTCTACAAACAGTGGGCAGGCTTACGTCGAGTCTGTGTGTAGTCTGACATCGGGTGCTACAACTATAGTGACCTAGGATTTCCGGGGTAACTGGTATTACAGTATCTGGCGTAGAAATAGGCCGCGGGTTTACATCATGTTTCCCTCCACGCCATAGGATTACCAAGGAGCGATATAGTGATAACGAGGGACTTCATAGATCCAAGTCAAAAAGATTCAGATTTGTGTATTGAACCTATGTGCAGGAATACATTTCTACGCAGCCCGGCCATCGACCAAATATCTAGCACGATGTCTGGCCGTTAGGGGTGAAAGTTCCAGCCTGGTACGCACCATCGGCGTCACCCAAGCACTCAGCTATAAAATAGTCAGCATATCGCCCGATTCCTCACTAATCTGGAACAACCAAAAGCACGGGGCCAAAAAAAAAAAGACAACATACCAACAGTAACCAACTTCAACCCATTCTGCTTCGCCCAATCAATCAACCACGGCGTCAACGTATGCACCGTCCCCGTATACGTCTCATGCATAAGCGGAATATGCCCATTGCCACTCGCCCCGGCCTGCTGGAACGCCTGCTCGCTCTGCTGCGGCGTCTGGTTGTTCCAGTCTCCCGCATCAACATCGTCCGTGATTACCTTGTAGCCCAGCTCGGCCATGGTGGGCAGGAAGGCGCCGCTGGTCTCGAGGTAGGGCGGCCGCATGTAGGCGGGTTTCTTGCCGATTAGGTTGACGAGCGCGTCTTCGACTTTGGTCATTTCGGAGCGGATTTGGTCGGCTGACATGCTGCCCATGTGGCCGTGGGTCCTAGGGGGGTGTTAGTGGGTGGCAAAGACCGAGCTGAGACCAGGTCGGGAGGAAGGATGAGGGTTATGTTACTAACCACGTATGCGAAGCAATCTGATGCCCCGACGCAAACGCCTTCTTAACATTCGCCGACTGGCCATAGATGCACCCATACAGCGTGCCAGTCCAGAAGAAAGTCGCCTTGGCGCCAGCCGCGTCGAGGATGTCGACGAGGTCGGAGGTGAACTGGTACGGCCCGTCGTCATACGCCAGCGCGAGCATGCCCGGGTTGCTGCACTTTTGGATCACGACGCCGGGGCTCGGCGCTCGCTTGATGAGCTCGAGCGGGTTGGGGGCTGGGGCGGCGGCTGCGCCTGAGGCTAGGAGCAGGCCGGCGAGGATGGTTTCGGCGAGCATCTTTGTTTGGGATTGTCGGGGGTGTTTGGTGGTGGAGTTTTTGTTGTGGATGCAGCACGCAGATAGGATACGTAGGTTGAACGGAGTGGTTTGAGTCTTTAGTTATTATATAAATATAACCTCGGGCATCTTCCCGTTATCCTTCTTTTCCCTATTCCCCGTTCCCCGTTCCCCGGTTTGGGTCTTGAAACTGACGACTCCCTCCGAATTTCCGCATCGTGCGGCCGGTTGAGCGCAACTTCCGGGTCAGCGGATCGGAATCAAGCGGTTTGTTGACCTTTCTGGGGAAAAAAAGGGTCCGGCAGACGAGCATGGGAATCTGGGGACTCCGATGCCAAGAACCATGGACCTGGGTTAGCTTTCTGGGTTTTGGTCGTGGATAAATATGAGAAGAGCCACCGAAGCGTTCAAGAGTTCGGGGATTCGAGGATTTATTCTCCCCTTGGCGCACTGTCCGCATTTAGCCGGTACTTAGGTACTATCCATATACCAGCAAGATCGCCCTCAAATTTCCCCGAAAGATGGGAAGTCCACGCGGGAAACAATTCTTGGTATGTTACCCGGCTGGGCTCGGCCGGGTGTTTGGCCCTGCATGTGGGGGCTGACGTTTCAGGGCACCTCGGAGAGAAAAGACGGGGAAAAGTAGAGTTGTTTTATGCGGCTCAGAGGAGAGCCAAAAAGAGCGGGGTGAAAGGAGGCAGCAGAGCGTCCAGCAGTCGTCCAGTCGTGTAAGCGGCGCCTCTTATCCGAAAGCTAGTAAAGTGTAAGAGGTTGGGTCATGGTTGGATAACATAAGTCTCAGTAACGAGGGGGCTATGGGTTCGATATGCTCAGTTGATGTCGTATGCAACACGCGGACGATTACTGGGTGGGGCACACTCAATGCTTCTGTTGGCGGGCCAAGGCTGAAGCCTTAATCCTCTGAGCGAGTTGTGTCTTTTACGAATACTTCGAGATCTTTCTGTGTGCTTGCAACACCTCGCGATGCATCGTGACCCTCAATACGTGGAATTTTTCAGGCCTCATTTCACAACAACCGGGCTTATGGCGCAACGGTAGCGCGTTCGACTCCAGCTACCACAAGTGCAATCGAAAGGTTATCCGTTCAAATCGGGTTAGGCTCAAGACGTACTCTTTTTCATGGTGATTTGCTGAACACTACCGAATTGCACTGCGCTGCCGAGGCGTTGGTGTTCAGCTCGCAAGTAATTGTGTTCACTGCTAGGACCGACTGGTAGCTTCCAGGCGGAAAGGCCGCCTGGTTAAGCACGACTCTCACAAGGTCTTCGGAGAATTTCTTTTGGTTTGTATTTGGCAGCGAGACAGCCTTGTCCCATCTCCGCCGTTTTTGGACTACCATTCTTCTCAATCGTCCCCTACCAGCGCGTCCAGCGCGGCAATCAGCACTTTGGCGCACTGGTCTCGATAACTTACGGCAAGTTCCTGATTTGCGTTCGTCGGGGGCGGCAGCCATGTCCTCACTTCCCCATCCTCGGTCTCTTCGTCATGACCCTGTACTCCGACCCTCATCAACTGCGAATATTCGGAGTCCGTCTTGGTACCTAGGATGGCAATGATCTTTTCCACGAATTCGGCCAGCTCTTCGGGAGGCGACGTTACGTCGGTGCTCGATTCCCACTGGCGTATAGCGGCTATCTCCTCTGGCGAAGCCACTGTGGTTGTGAGATCGTCCAGCAATGCTGGCTCAAAGTTTCTAAGGGACGGTAGCGAGGCAAGACCATTTGATTGCCTGTCATATGGTAGCCGGGAGTTGGCAACGAGTGAGCTGGGGTCAGGTACAGGGCGCAGTGAGATGAGGAAGGACTGAGGCACCCTTTGGTCGTTCTCGTGGCCCGTGCCTGGTTGTGGTTGACGCTTCCGCAGGTGAATGTAATCGTTGTGTAGCCGCTCTGTCTCGGGCAACATGAAACCATAACCTAGTAAGAGTTCACTGTTGGTCTTGAGGCCATAGTTATTGTAAACTTGTTCACCAGGCTGATAGCGGTCAAGGCAAATCAACTGGCACGCCGGGTGTGGAGAGGAAACGGTGTTCCAGGTGAATTTGGCTGTGATGGAGTGGTTGGCGATGTCGAGGAGAGGTTGGAGGATGGAGAAGTCGTCAAGCTTGACGCCGTCGGGGAGGAGGCCGGAGACACGTTGGTGGTCAGCTTCGGAGAGGATCAAATAAGGCCGGAAACTGCGGGAGGTGAAGATACTGAAGGCCCATTTGTAGAGAAGTTGGGTGTAACTGGTGACATCCGGGAAGCCCTCGTCCTTCAGCAGTTTACGGGCTTGCTTGAACTCCTGCTTCACATTGGCCTGGATTTCTTCAATGGTGACACTGACGTTGGTGCCTTCAAGATAGGCAGTGTCACTGTCGGGCCAAAAAGCCGGTAAAGCCCAGGCTGCCACCTGCTCAGGGGAAGGCAAGGTCGAAATGTAGGGCGCCCAGTACGAGTCCTTTCCCTTCAGGTACTCTTTGATCAAGAAGAAGCGGCCTAAAACGTGGGGTGGGACAGATTTTGTGAAGTTGGTAGGGAATGCCCCATCTGTTGTGTGTGGCGATGACGGTGATGAGAAGTCAAGGGGACCGTCGATGAGGGCGTTCAAGTACGAAAGTGTCGTTGAGAGAGGACATGAGACGGCCGTGAAGCCAGGCTCAAGCCCCTCATTGACGGTTGGTTTGACTCGGAGCGAGTATTTGCTGACATCGTCATGATAAATCTCGAGAGACGGATGCAACTCGGCCCCATGCTGTTGGGACCACTCGAGTAGCGCGCCGAACCGGGTGGCGTCGGATGGCTTCATCACGGAGTTGGGTGACCTCAAAAGGGTTTGCCGGGAATAAAAATGATGTCGGGCCGAACAAGGGTCAAAACGGCTGCGATAAGCTTAGTCAGCAATAGTCCACCGATTTTGTGGAAAGGAGAAACACAAGAATTTCTTTACAACAGCTTTGTGATGCTGAGGAATCCCGATGCTGTGCTTAGGCTTGGCGACGGCACCCGGTCCTTGGCTCGGCTCCGGAAAACTTCCCCGGAGAAGCTGATACGGACGGAGTGCCTGGCTCGGCGAAGGGATAAAGCCGCTCGGAATTCGAGATAATGCTTGCATTCAAGCCTGGCCAGAGCCACTTTTAATCCGTAGACAAGCTCGAGATAGGCTCTCGCTGCACTTTCCCCAACGTTGGATGTGTATTTCCGGGAAAGAGCTTGTCCGAACAAGGCAAGTCGACCTGGTTTGATATGTGGGCACTGGTTCCTGCCGCATTGTTCCTGCCGGGTTTCGCCATGACGTCGTGGCCCGGGACGCACCGAAAACCGGAGTTAGCGAAGGGTCACACGGAACCTTGAAAAATCACACCATGTTGGCCCCGCAAGAATTCTGGATTCCCTCGCATTAAATAGGACGTTTATCCCCATGTCTCAAATGTGCGACACTTCCCGGCCCGCGTGTCGTGGCCGACATGCACATCATTCGCCATGACCGAACCCTCCGACGTCCGCAAACCGTTGGACCCGCCCTGTCAACAATCCGATAGTACGGGTTCCTCATCCCAACCACGGCAATATGGCGAACGTGACTCCCCAATATCGGTTGACAAGGAAAAGGAGGAACACGTCAGTCCCATCCCCAGCTCTAGTGACGAGGACGAGGACGAGGACGACACCGACGACGACTCAGATGCCGAGGCCCACATCAACGGCGATTATGATGGCCACCGCCCCACGCAGCTCGACATGCGCCTCTCGCGCACCCGTACCACCAATACCGTGCGTTCAGCCAGCACCGTGACCACTGTTGCGAGTAATTCTGCCGGCGGCACCCGTCCGACATGCAGCGGGGCAGCAGGCACCGGCACCGGATCCCGCATTGAGCCCGGAACAGGAGCCGGCCTGGGCAATACGCTCTCCCGGCGCACCACCACCATCCTCTCGCGCATACGCTCGCGGCCCACGCCGGGCCCGCCCACCTTCACGCATCCCCTCACCCATGTCCCGACGACGGCGGAACAACTGGTCGACTTCGACGGGCCGGACGACCCTTACAAGCCACTCAACTGGCCGCTGCGCAAAAAGATTGTGACGACGTTTCTGTACGGGCTTGTCACGATGAGCGCAACGTGGGCGTCGTCGTGCTACGCGCCAGGCACGGCGCAGATCGCGGCGGAATTTGGGGTCGGTACACAGGTCTCGGTGTTGGGGACGTCGTTGTTTTTGGTTGGCTTTGGGGTGGGCCCGTTACTGTGGGCGCCGTTGAGCGAGGTGTATGGAAGGAGGGTGGCGGTGTTTGTGCCTATGTTTGTGGCGATGTGCTTTAGTTTTGCTAGTGCCACCAGCAAGGACTTTCAGACGCTCATGGTGACGCGGTTTTGGGGGGGCTTTTTCGCTAGCGCTCCCGTGACGAATACTGGAGGGGTTATGGGAGATCTGTACGGTCCTGCCGAGAGGGGTATTGCGATAGCCGGCTATGCTATGGCCGTTGTGTCCGGTCCGTCGCTAGGTACGTGTTTGGGGGTGATGGAGATACTTGCCGCTTCGCTACAATACATACTAACCTACGGACAGGCCCTATCGCCTCGACGGCCCTTGTTGTTCAGCCCGACCTAGGATGGCGTTGGACCGAATACTTGACCGGTATCATCCAGGGCGTCGTCTTATTGGTAGCTCTCATCTTCATCGACGAGAGCTACCCCCCACAGCTGCTCATTTACAAAGCCCGGCGCTTACGCATCGAGAGCGGCAACTGGGCGTTGCACACCAAGTTTGAGGAGTGGGACGTGAGTGTCGCCGAACTAGCCCGCAAGTTCCTGGTGCGTCCGATCCAGTTGCTCTGCACCCCGATCTGCTTTCTTGTGGCCCTCTACGCGAGTTTCTGCTACGGCATCCTGTACATGCAACTCGGTTCCATCCCCATCATCTTTGGCGAGGTCCGCGGTTGGTCCCCTCTCGCCTCGACCTTCCCCTTCGTGGGCATTTTTATCGGCACCGTCTTTGGCTGTGCAGCCAACGTGTACAACCAGCTTCTCTACAACAAGGCGTATCACGCGGCCGGGAATAGAGCCGTCCCCGAGCGGCGGCTGCCGCCTATGATGCTGGGATCTGTGCTGTTCGCCAGCGGCCAGTTTCTTGTCGGATGGACGGCAGAGCCGCATGTCCATTGGATCGTGCCGTGCATCGCCTTGGTGATGATGGGAACCGGCTTTTTCACCATTTTCCAGGCTGCTCTGAACTACCTCGTCGATACGTTTACGACGTATGCCGCTTCGGCCGTGGCTGCCAACACGTTTCTCAGGTCGTGTTTTGCCTGCGCGTTTCCGCTGGTGGTGGGTCCCATGTTTCACAACCTGGGTGTCGGCCCGGGTTCGTCGATTCCTGCGGGGTTTTCTGTGTTGTTGATACCCGTGCCGTTTGTGTTTTTTGCCTATGGGAAACGGATACGTGCTGCGTCCAAGTGGTCGCGGGCATCGGTTCATGATGGGGATGTGAAGAAGAGGGAGGCGCAACGATAGATACCCTAAAATAGAGCTTGATGGTTTGGATATTTTGAATCTTTTGGACATGGTATTATTTTATCGTTGCAAATTCGGGAATTCCTGGTCCTGTGGTTGATGTGTTGTGAAAATAGGGGGCGTAAAAAAAGTGCAAAAGTGAAGTCCCCTCGACCGGAATCGAGCCGGTGACCTTTCGGTATCAATAAACGCATTTACAGCCGAACGTGATAGCCAACTACACCACAAGGGGATTTTTTGGTTGTTACGGTGCGGGGTCGAATGAGGGGTTTATCTTGTGATGTCAGTGGTCCACTTTTGTGTAAGTCATACACACACAGTAGGGTGAACTGCGCGGTCCACAAGGAGAAGGGGAAAGATCGTAGGAAAAGCAAAGGAAAATGATTTGAAATAATAGTGGCCTTTGTGATGATGGAATGAAGGAAAGATATTGCCACGGGAGTGGGCGCAACTGACCACTCCGTAACACCCTAGAAGAGGAGGGTGGTTTGAACTGTCCAGTGGAACCAAGAGTTGCGCACATAAAACACACAGTCACAACCGTAACAGATGTACGCAAGTTTGAACAAGATGTAAAGTTACGACCCTATACCCGGCGTGTGATGCTATCATGACTTAAACCCTCCACACAACCTCCTTCAACCACCTCCCAATCTCCTTCATATACGCCTTCGTCTTCAGCTCCGCATCCCTCATCGTCTCCATCCCCCCAACAACCGAACGAATATGCACATTATCAAACCCATGCATCACATCCGGCACCAACAACCACTTGACCCCCCCTCTCTCCTCTCCATCCTCCCCACCCCACTCCTCCTCAAACGCAAACCTCTCATCCTCCTGCCCCGGCCCCAACCCAACCAACTCCCCCCTCCGACTCGCCATCGCCGCCAATCCAGCCTTCCCCCCTCTATCCCCCTCCCCCCCTTGGTCGGTCCCTCCCTGACCCTTAACACTCCCACAAACCCTCCACCTCACCTCCCCACTCTCCCTATCCGGCACCACCCTCTTCCCGTTCCTCTCTCTCGACAACCTACACGCCAACCTCCACCCCTCATGCGCCAGCATATCCAACTCGGCCCCCACAACCCCCACAAACGGCGGCAATCCCCCCCTCTCCTCTTTCCCTTTCCCACTCGACGACGCCGGCGGTGCGGAAGCGCCGGGACTAACCAACGGATCCCCCAAATCCGTTCCATACGGTACATAAGCCCATTCAAACGCCTCCGCCAGACCCAACAACACGTCATGATTGCGGGGGGTGCCGCGCGGTAAGGGGAGGTGAGGAGAGGGTTTGTAGGGGCGGTTGGGGAGTTTTTGGGACGGGGGGTAGGTTAGGTCGAGGTGGCCGTAGATGGAGAGGGCGGCGAGGGGGAGGCCCAGGGGGTGGGTTTGGACAGAGGGGAGGAGGGAGAGAGAGAGGGATAGGTTGGCGCCTGCTGAGAAGCCTAGGAGGGCGGTGCGTGTTCTTTTTTTTCCTGCTCTCCCTGTGGCTTTGTTGGATGGGGGGGATGGGACCGGGCGGCGGTCGATGGGAAGGGTAGGGTCGTCGAGGGCAGCGAGGTAGAGGGCTTCGAGATCATAAAGGGCCGTGGGAAAGGGGTGGGCGGGGGCTTTGCGATAGTTGAGGGAGATGACGAGGACGGTGTGGGAGTTGGCGAAGGCGCGGTTCCATTCGTCGTCGTCGCGCTGGTGGCCGATGCAGAAGCCGCCTCCGTGGATTGTGAAGAGGGTTGGGAGGGGGGGGAGGTCGGTTGGGGGTGTGTTCTTGTTTGCGCGGGCGTAGGAGGCGGGGAGGAAGACACTGGTTGGGTCTGTTAGTCTGCGCTGTAGTTGAAGGGGAATGTGCCCGTTCATCCCTTCCAGAGAAGAAAAGAAACACAGGAAAAGAAGAAGAAAAAAGGACACCCACCGAATAGGCAAACTCGGCCGACACGGATACGTCTTGACCACATCCGGGCACCCCTCAGGGGGATTCCGAGCTTCACTCCACTCCCTCAACCAAAGCATCGGGCTCAGCATGGCTTTCAACCCATACATGTATGTGGCGTACGTCAACATGTCCAGCATCGGCGGACGTTCTTTGAGAATAACCTCTTTGCTTTGGTCCATGGTGTCAGTTTCGTCCTTTTGGGTGCCATGGTCATGGTTTTGAACCCCCCCTGGGAGTTTGCGATGTCTGAGGGTCGTCATGATTGATGGCTGTGTCTTGCCGAGTTAACGAGCAATAATCAAGTATGGCAAACGGCGATGACGAGGTACTGACTGTTTCGGGGTGCAGTCGAATTTGTATCCAGATCGCGACCCGCGGTAGTAACTCACCAGGGAATTTGCAGTCACACTCCCTGGGTAACGTGGACATTCCTCAACCCCGATATCAACCCTCCTCCCAAACACCAATATCCAACCGCAAATAAACAGCAAAGATCACCCACAACCGGTCCTCACCAGCCGGGCGGTCACCAACCATTATCCTTTCCAGATACCACATATCCTTCCCACATCCCACAAGTTAGTCACCCTGAAACAACGGCAAAACCCTCGGCAAACATAACCCAACAATCTCGGCATTGGCGACTGCGGTAGTAGGGAACCATCCAGGAACCATTCGGGAACCGTTCGGGACGAAAGGGACCCATGCCCAGCCAAGCATGCCACGGGGATTTTACCCGGCACCGAGATCTGCACCCGCCGTTCCATGGAACGGATTTATTGCTTGAGTGGGCTGGGGGTGATTGATGCGGGGGTAAAACGATAAATGATCTATGACGGGCAAACGGGGTAATGTACTTTGTACCCGAACCCTGTTTGTGCTGTTGGAGGACTGTAGCTGGTTGAGCGATGTACTATTGGCCAACTCTATCATGGACTTCTTGAAAGTATCTCGTCCCTTGAAATGTCATTCAGGGGTTAGCATTTGGGACCACAACGAATGAGACTTCTAAATCGTGATGGTTAGTTAGCAAGCTGTTCGTTCTCCTGGGCGAGGTTGGCTTCTACCTTGATGAGGGGATGCGATCTCCACGAATCGGCCGAATCTGATGCCGTCAATGAGCGCCCAACCATCAAGACACCCAGAACCCCTAGACGGTATACCAAGGCAGAAAACATCGATAGCAAACCTAGACTACAAGTACAGATACACGTCCGATGAGTCGTCTCATGAACACCATCCATCCATTTACCCTACATGTTTCCACCCCCTTAAGCAACATCGTATATAGCCAGCTCATCATGTCATGTGCATCCGTAACTAGGCCCCCCTGCCATAATCATCATTGATATCTTCTCTCCTCCCACGAAGCCGCGGCGACCCGTCTCTAGCGGACACTCGGCGCCCGATGCACAATAATCTCCTCGCCCACATCCACCTCGTCCTCGTCCGGATCCTCAATGCTGGTCCGCCGCTTGGCCTCCACAGCCCGATCAATCTTCTTCCCATCCTCGCTGATCATCGTCTCCTCCTCCTTGGTCAGCTCCACCGGCTCTTCCGAGATCGGCGCTGGCCCCGTCGGTGTGCTGGCGTTCGAGCCGTCGCCCTGGGCGGCCGCTGAAGACGATTCGTCATCCTTCTTCTCCCGCGAGAACGGCCAGAGGCTGCTGAAGGGGCTGATCCCGGTCGTCTTGATGTTGGACGCGGTCGGATGCAGGGCCATGGGCTTGACCAGGATGCTCTCCCGCGCGGGATCGATTCCTGACACCGTGACGCGCTCCTCCACTTCGGGCATGGCAAAGTCGCCAAACTCCTCGTCCTCGATGTCGTCTTCCTCTCCTGTCAACCGTCTCCCGCCTTCATCGTCGCTGCTGTCGTCGTCTCGTCCATCGCCGAATCGCTCAATCTCTTCCTGGCCATCGCGCTCACCGCCTCCCCGACGTTGTGCGCCTCGAACAACATCTCGCCACCAGGACCCACGATCCCAAGCCCCGGTGCCCCCTCCCAACCGGCCACCGCCTTCCACTCTTTCTCCGTCGCCATCATCGCTCCCGCTACCCGAGTTGTCTTCGTCATCGTCTTCGTAGTCGGCAAAGGGGTTCCGTAGACGTTCACCACGTGAAGAGCTGGGGAGGTTGAAAGAACCTGAGGCTGTCGCGTCGTCGTCGCCGGTTGGAGGAGAGCTGCCTTCCTGTTCGCCGTTGGAATTCGCGGCCGCAGCAGCGTTGCGCTTGTTCATGGCCAGGCGCGCCGCCAACTGGAGACGGGCTCGAGACGGGGGGACGTTGAGAGGAGGAGGCGGTGGTGGAGGGGGTGGAATAGATGGCGGACTCATGGAGCCGCCGTGAGAGTTGAGGGGATCGGTGTATGCTCGGAACTATGGGTAGTACAATTAGTTAGTTACGAGTGGTCTGGAAGGTGTTGGATGAACAGGCGCAAGAAAACGTTAAGAACAACACGGCAAGTACATCCTAGGAAATACCAAGGCCAAAATAAGGGAACCGGATTGTCCGTGGAAGGAGGGGGTCTGAATCTTCAGGGGAAGCTGCCCACTGGGCATCAACAACTGGGAGAACAAAGGAAACAAGCCACGGCACCACAGCACTTCTTCCATGAGCAACGCTCTTTCCGCGAAGCCAAAGCCCGAGACATATTGAGAAGCCACGGCTATTGGTTATCCGCTGCCTGTGCTAAAAAGGAAAGCATCGCTGTCTTGCCCTCCATCGAGGGCGGGTAAGGTGCGTGACTCTGGGGCAGGACTCTCATCAACCGGCCCATTACCCCTGTGAGGCTCATCCCCATGGGACTGGAGGAGGCCGCAATAGGGCGCGGGCCTGGATCGGGATCTAACTCCTCCCAACCACCACAACATTCATCGTAGTCTGAGCCATGAAAACGGGTGCCGCTCTGAACGTCACCAGTATACCAATCTCCCCCCGACGCAAACTGATCCACGGCTAAATCGGCGTCGTGACCGCCAAGCATCTCGACAAAGGAAAAGCCGCCACTAACCTCGCTATTGATATCCTCCTCGTTGTCCTGGTCCTCGTCCTCGTCTTCGTCACTGGAGCTGCCGAACCCGCTCATGAGCGCGCCAGAGCTAATAGCGAACTGGTTCATCGAAGAAACTCCAGAACCCTCCATCGTTTCCGACCCGCCCGTCAGTCCAGCTTCGGCGAGCGCATTAGAGCCTCCGCCGCCGAGACCAATAGAACTCAGCCCGGAGAAGCCGCTAGCCATCAAGCCTGGCCCGGTGGCACGGTTCATCGCCACCTCTGGGCGCACGCCACCAAGGATGGCGTTATCCCGCTCGCGCGTCTCCGCGAGGGCGCCCTCAACGTAGTTCACCCAATCCTGGGCCATCACCTTCTCCAGGACTATGTCGCTAAGAAGCTCGGGGGGGTGACGCTCTGTAAACTTGACGACTTCCTCCGCAATCAGTGTGAGGTGGCCCATGTAGCCCATGCGCGTCTTGTTTTCGGTCTGTGATTTTTCACTAGCAGTCTGGCCGTTGATAATTTGGTTGGTGATATCGGCTGCCTCAAAAAGACTGATGGCGAGCATCGGGTTGTATCCCCTGTCCATTGGCCCGTTGAACACTTGTTGCACGATATCGTACACCACGTTGTGTAGGAAGTTGTTCCACGGATACCGGAAAAAGAAACCGAGGATTGTCGGGACCACGCCGTGCTCGACAAACTGCATCTTGAGGTAGTCTCCGACAACAGGCTTGGGCTGTGTCTTGGCTTCGGCAGAGGGCTGAGCGTCGCCGGCCACAACGGTGGAGACGTCCCCAGTTTCTTGAGCCGGTGGTGAGCTGGACGTCTCGGATTGTTCGACTTCCGAAACTGTGACGGAAGGTTGTGCCGGGGCGTCCGCAATGACCGTGTCCACACTTTGCTGAGCTGGTGGCTGCGGTGCCTCTTGGGGCGACACATCTTTCGAAAACAGCGGAGCCGGAGTGTCTTCTGGATGCGGTGACAACGTGTCACTGACATCACTGACGTGAGGTTTATCCTCTAGTGTAATCGTTGAGAGCTCCGTCTTTAGCTTCTCGGTATCAGGTTTCTCCGTATCAAGCTTCTCGGTCTCAGGCTTCTCGATCTCAGGTTTCTCGGTCTCAAGTTTCTCGGTCTCAGTCGTTAATTCGGAAACTGGCTCGGGTTTGGATGGTTCACCCTCGTTCGTCACAGGGGCGGCTGGCTCCGTTTCTGGGCTGGCGCTCGTCTCTTGCGGGACTGGTTCACTTGCGACCCCCTTGTCGGTGTCGGTCTTTGGTACGGGCTGTGCCGCCTTCTTCGAGGGCGAGAGTGGCGCGACCATGAGGTCCGCATCTTCGAACGGGGGTTTCAATTCCGTGTCGTTACCCGCGGGCTCGCGGACGTTGAGCGTGGGGGAACTAAGCGGCTCGTCCACAAAGTCATCGTCGTCCTTGCCCAGTAGAGACGAAGTAGGCAGGTGCGTGGGAGCGTCGGGAAGTTCCAGGACCCCATGCGTGTTTTCCTCGTCCGCTGTATGGGACACCTCCTCAAACCCGTCATCATCCGCAGAGACGTTCATGACCTCCAATTTGCGTCCTTGTTCGGGAGAGGATGCCTCGGAAGCTCGCATCGAAAGGTCTTCGCCCGAAGCAGCTTCGATGCCGCTGATAGGGAGCAGTTGACCCTCGGCCCGGAGCCGATGGCGTTGAGTGTCGCGAGCAGCAATCAGATCTTCTGCGCCATTCTCATTCAGTAGCATCATATTGCTGCAGTGTAAGAGTTCTGCCATGAGCTCGCAAGTCTTGAACCGGTCGAAACCGAGGGGCTCGATCTTCTCGCCAAAGGTGGAAGAAAAATGTTGCTTCTTGGCTGGGACGTTGAGGATCAAGTTGACAAAGTCAGGGACGTGCTGGGCGAACAATCGGAGGAGGGTTCCTAGGTAGATGGGATCTCGGCTGGATGGAGCGGCGTTGATATCGACGCCTTCCGGGTCATAATCCGAGTTGTTCTTCCGGATAACTTCGATGATGATACCGACGCCGCAGGTCAGTGGATTCCCCCCGCTCAACATGTACTTGATGAGCTGCTCGACGCACGGCTCGGAGACAAGCTGCCGGGTCAACTCATTAGGCCCAATGCAGGTTTGCTCGTTCTGAGAAGCGTTCGCCGAGACTGTGATGATAGCCTTGATAAAGTCCGCTGCCGAGGTTTGAGTCGCCCAGCTATGTTCCGGGCCGAGGAAAGAAATGAGAGACATCATGACATCTTGCGTGTAGAGCCACTATACCATAAATCTTGTCAGTTCCAGCTCGTCTCGTAATTACCCAGTCCCTGTTACAACGTACCTCGACAATTCCCTGCCCACTCTCGGCACGCTCTAGGCTGATGATTTTCAGCAAGAGATCCATGATCATGGGGCAATCCACATGTCGTAAGATGTCCGCCACGGCACCTTCCATGCCTTTTAACAGTTCTACCATCTCCTCCGTCTTCTTGTCGAACAGCGACTCGTTGACTTTCGTGAAGTAACTCGCTTGGAGGGGGTCGAGTGGGGTATCGCGCTTCAGGAACTGCCAGAACTCCCGGAGCAATGGCTTGCACTCCATGAGCGCGTCGTATATCGACCATGTTTCCGAAGAGAGGATCTCAGTAGACACAAACGCGTATCGATTCCGCTTCTTTTCGACGTCGTCCGGAGTTGTCTCGCCTGCCTTAGAGGAATTTTGAGATATGGTGGACGAGCGGAACACGTTTTTCCCCTTCGTCTCCTCATCTTCCTCTTCGTCGTCGGGCGAGGCGACAGGTTCGAGTTTGGGAGCAACCACATACTTGAGCAGTTTCTCAAGAACTTGCGGGTCCCGCAGGTACTCTACAAGTCTCGCATTATGCTGCTTCAGTTCCTGCACCAAATCGCTCTCGTCGAGAAGTTGCTCGAGCTCGAAGCTCTCGCGGTCGAGAATCGTGTCGATGGTGGAGACACTGGCGTAACCGCCAAATCTCCAAAACATGGTGGGCGACGGCCGATGAGCCTATGCTATGTCACGGCACCGGTGCTAAGAAAACGCCGGCGAGAAGCCGTGACGTTGGGGTTTCGAGAAATTTCGTTGGTCTCGAGCAATCGCATGCGCAGGCGGATGACTCGTGGCGGTAAAGGTTGGGAAACGCACAGGCGGCGTCGCGGCGTGAAGCGAAAAATGGGGCACGGGGCGGACGAGGCGAGGTCGTGGAGCTGTTGTTGTCTTGGCTAGTCTAGCGACGGTGAAAATGTTGAAATTGTTCGCACAAGCGGACGGGTATCTCGATGTCTAACGTTAAGGATCTGGCGGGGTCGGAATGATTAGCTGGGAGCGAGTGGGGAGCGATTCTCGACTGGGAAGTGGGGGTGACGCAGCGACGTAAAGTGGGCTGGCTCGTGGGGAGGGGACAGGCAAGAAGCAGGTACTCCGAGACGCGGCTCGAGACAACGCGGAGCCTAGAAGCATTGACTGTGTTGGCGAGAAACACCTGTGCGAGGTCTGGGCCACGAGGCTACCGAGTTGTCTGAGCCACGAGCACGGGTTGTGTGCTGACTGCGATACTGCTGGGGGGGATGACATTCGCAAAGCCGTCGATCGGAGAACGAAGGAAACCTTCACCGTACAATAAACCTCGTCGAACGCAAATAATGCTACAATTACAAGGAGACCTGGGTGGCAGACAGGAAGAGGGAGAAAAGAAATATCTATTGTCGTAACGGCTGTCTCCGGGAGAGATGGACGATGGTACTGAGGTTCGTCACGGTGTTGTGAGAACGTGATGAAGGAATGATGGCGGGAGGTTGATTCCAGCTGGATCCAGCCCTCGCAGCCCCTGGTCGACCGCCTGGCCATTCCATGTGCCACTCTCTGGGCAGGCGCCGGCCAGGCATGTCAGGGGGCCTCGCACAGGACTTCCTGCCGTCGGGATCCACCTTCCTGGTGTTCTCATTGGTTTTGTTCCCGCCCGTTATTCGGGACGCTTGGGCCACTTTGCCCACAGCCGACGTGCATTTTCCATCATTCTTCGGTCTCCGAATTGGCGTTCCCCTTTCCTTTTCTCCAAGAATTGGGCTGCAACGTGGACGATACTTGCAGAGCCCAATGCAAAATCGCGTGGAAACTGCTGAAGCATGACATCCATAATCAGGGCCGAGCTCGTTGGGCCCACTTTTACACATGTTTCCCGCTTACTGTGCAGTTAAGCATGATTCGATTAAGATCAATTTTTATCAGCCACATCAACATCGGAAAAACGACGGCCGGACTTGTATTTTCCGGCACTTGCGACCCAACAAACAACAAACAAGTCAAATAATGTTCTTCTTATTCGCTGGCAAAGATAAATCCCGGATGTCCCGCTCGTGAGGCAAGGCGACTACAAGTCCCGTCTATGTATACCACGTCGGGTCCGGCGCTTGACCGAGCACAAAGTACTTGCCCAGCTCGCGGTTCTTGTACGCGACGGGGTCATGCAGCGTGTGTGTCCGCAGGTCACGCCAGAACCGGTCCAGCCCGACCTTGCTTGCCGTCGCCCGCGCGCCCGTCACCTCGAACACCCCCGAGGTTACCCGCAGGCCCGTGTCGGTGGCCACCACCTTGACGCTGGCTACCCACTCGGCCCAGTCGCCGCGCTCTTGCAACGTTAACCCGGCCCGCTGGTTCCCGTATTTCTCGTAGAGCTTGTCTGCTTCGGCTCCGGCCCGGTCCGCGAGCGTCTCGGCAGCTCTCAGGTGCGCGAAGAAGTTACCATAGGTCGACAAGATGTGGAATTCCTCCGTGGCGGATTCCTTGGGCTGCTCCGGGGTTAGACGGGTTCATGGCACCAGGAGAGCAAAGGGTTGACTTACATCTCCGCCGAACGGCCATGCGCGGGTGTGGGCGGTGGTGTATTGCTTAGCAAACTCCAACGCACCCTGGGCGATGCCGATGTAGAAGTTGCTGAAGACCAGCTGGATGCTATACGGTTGTCAGCAAGCCGCTCCACTCACGCTTCCCCGGGATGTACATGTACGTACCTCGGTAGTAGCAGCGCAGGGAACGCGATCCCCAAAACAGCCGGGTCTGGCTTCTTCGTCGCGACATCCCAACCTAGCGCATCCGCCCACGGCGCCGACACATTCTCAATCTTGGCTGCCCCGGACTCGGTCAACCGCAGGCCAATGTTATCCCAGTTGTAACTGAACACGATGCCAGCCTGCGCCGTCGGCACAATGGCAAAGATGTGCTCCTCGGGCGGGCGGCCATCGACAGCGCCCTCGAGCACGATCAGGTCCGACACGGCCGCGCCCGTGGTGAAGTTCTTGAACCCGTTGTACGTGATCTTGTCGTCGTCATATGTGATCTTGAGATCACTGTCGCGTGGGTTGACAGCACCGCCGACGTAGTAGTTGTTCTCGATGATGAGTTTCTGCAGGCGGTCGGCTTGGTCATCGTTGCCCACGACATGCCCGGTACGAGACCACAACAGGTGGTAGCCGAGGAGCATACCAATCGACCTTTAACGTACCGAGATGTCAGCGTCCGCCAGTCTTCACAACCAGTAAGGGTCAATCTCATCTCGAGGGGACGTACCCATCCCCCTTTGCAACCTCCCGAATCGCTTTATACCCCACACTCCACGGCTGTTCGCCGCCGCCGTACTTCTTGGGCCCAAGCAGGCGCAGCAGGCCAGAGTGCTTGAGTAGCGCAACCTCGGCCTTGGGCGACTTGTTGGCCTTTTCGCGCACGGCTGCGTCGGCGGAGAGCACCGTCGCGACATCCCGCGCGCGCTGCAGCCAGCCGTCGGCGTCGGTTGGGTAGGTCGACCATTTGGCTTCGTACTCCTGGTACACGGCCGGGTCTGAAGCTGGGGGTGCGGCGGGTTTGGTAACTGGGACCGTTTGGGTGGCCATGGTGGCGTCTTGCTATGGGACGTGACTGTGGCAATATAAGGGTTGGGTATTTAAAACCGATCCTTGAGTTTCGATATTGTAGTCCCGTGGTTCACTGGTATAACCCGGGATGGGAAGTAAAGTGTACCACAAGATCCTCATATACGGTCACCATCTCCCCGCTTCTCCTCCTGACCGATCCGTCGCAAGAATGCAAAGACATTGCGCACAACGCCACGACGATGTCACCACCAAGATCGCCGACCACCGGTCCATTCGCCCGGAAGCAGGCCCGGCTCAGACGTAGGATGTTCAGCTCCAGCCAACATGCAAGCAAGCAAGCATGAACCGACGTATCTCTCATCGGCAGCTATCTAGCTAGCCCTACGCTAGCCAGCCCACATCAACCCCGCGCCAGCCCACCCATCCATCTATCTCCTAAGATCGTCCTCCTCAACCCCATGAGCTGATCGCGCCTCAGCGATGAGACGCGACCCCCATTCCTCGTGACCTCACAACCCCCTACGATTGGCGAGCCCGGTACTGCCAATGCAAAAGGTTGTCAACCGACATACCACTCCCGCCCATGACGCAAACTACTAGAGCAATGAGTCCATTTCAACAGACGCGCATTGGCTGCTCAGATTCTTGCATAAGAGCTCCAAGATGGTGTTGAAGACAGGAAAGGAGGGGTTCATTGACTAATAGTAAGGCCAGCAAGGTAAAAGGGAGGAGGGGTAGCCCAGGAGCTATCACATGGAATGGTTTGCCTTGGCGAGGTAGATCCCGCATCCCACATACATAGTATGGTTGTCGCGTCGTGGGGAGGTGGGAAGACGCCATCGCGGATGCCCCACCGGACGAGGTCAGTTTTGTTCCGGAAAGGGAAATGCACAATTCAGGAACACCTTGGTTTCTACCTCACGTCAACGACACTCACTCCAGAAACCACGCTCTTTTTCTTCACTTTTCTGACAAAACACATTTATGGGCAAGGTAAGTTTAGATTATTTATATCCTTATACAAAATGATCGTGAAACCCAAAAGAAGGGTCAAGGTGAAGGAAAACTACGAAGCCCGAATCAGAAGTATCCAATCCCCAAGAAAACCTCCCAAAAAATTGCGTGATCCCTCTACACGGATCACAGCAGCTCCCCACCATGGCCACCAACTAACCCCCCCACCAGCCTCAAGCTCCATATCCCCCACGATACCATCTCACAAAACCCACCTCATACGATCCTTGACAAATCTTTTCACCCCCGTTACCTAAAGAAAAGTAGCTGAGAGCGGGCAGCCAAGGTGGGCACAAGAAAACTTGTACTCTCCATGTACCTATGTACCTCGTATGTACCTATGAGATGTGGGTTAACTACCGGAAGAAGCCAACCAACCTATCGGCAGCCAGCCAACCGATCATCGGCCGGAGCAAGATCGGAGATAAATGGCATCATTGAGCTGCGTGATGGCGTAGATGGGAAAGAGAGCGGGCGGGAGAGCGGGATGGAGGTATGCATCTGTAGCGTGTGGCTTGTGGGTTGTTGACGTCAACTCCTTAGTTGAGAATTAACTTGCCCTTGCACCGGGGGTCGGTCCGAAGGAGGGGGGATGGAAAAGGGGGGGAATGTTAAAGGGGGGGAATGTTAAAGGGGATAAGAAGTGGGGGAATATTAAGGAGCTTATGTCTAGCTTTCGGTGATATCTACGTTGCCTACGTGTGAGAAACAGATACATACAACGGAGTCAAAACACTAAGTTGAGATATTAGACAATTATCGTCACGCGCGAAAGAGCTAGGTAAAAACCAAAATGGCCAACACAGATCCCTCCCAACTCAACAGCGACCCTGACCGTCTCCGGTTTGCGTATGTCAACTCCAGCCCCCCTCTACTCCATCCCCCCTTTCTCATCCACATTCCCCCCAACTAACAACCATCTCTCCTGCAGTTACTGGGTCCCCAACGTCTCCGGCGGGCTCGTCATCTCCAAAATCCCCCAACGCACCTCCTGGGACCTCCCCTCCAACCTACGCTACGCCCGCGCCGCCGAATCCGCCGGCTTCGAATACGCCCTGACCCAAATCCGCTTCACCGCCTCCTACGGCGCCTCCCACCAGCACGAGTCCGTCTCTTTCTCCCAGGCTCTCCTCCACGGCACCAGCAAACTGAAAGTGATCGCGGCGATCCTCCCGGGCCCATGGAACCCGGCCGTGGTGGCGAAGCAGATCGCGAGTATTGATAACTATACCGAGGGCCGGGTGGCGGTGAATATTGTGTCTGGGTGGTTTAAGGGGGAGTTCACGGCGATTGGGGAGTGGTGGTTGGATCATGCGGAACGGTACCGGCGATCGAACGAGTTTATGCAGTGTTTGCGGGGGATCTGGACGGCGGATCCGGAGGAAGGGTTCACGTTTGCGGGGGACTTTTATCGGTTCCGCGGGTATAAGTTGAGTCCGAAGCCGGTGCAGCAGCCGCATCCGGAGATTTTCCAGGGGGGGAATAGTGATGATGCGAGGCGGAATGGGGCGGAGGTGGCGGATTGGTATTTTATGAACGGGAATGATCTGGAAGGGTTCAGGGCGCAGATTGAGGATGTGAAGGCGCGAGCGAGGGCGGTGGGCCGTGGGGAGCATGTGAGGTTTGCGGTGAATGGGTTTGTGATTGTGCGCGAGACGGAGGAGGAGGCGGTGCGGGTGTTGCAGGAGATTCAGGGGAAGGCGGACGCTGAGGCGGTGAATGCGTTTGCGGGGGAGGTCAAGAACGCGGGCGCCAGCACGGCTAACAAGACGGGCATGTGGGCGACCAGCACGTTTAATGATCTCGTGCAGTACAATGACGGGTTCAAGACCAAGTTGATCGGGACCAAGGAGCAGGTGGCCGAGCGGATTGTGCTGCTCAAGAGCCTGGGCGTCAATCTTGTGCTGACGGCTTTCCTGCATTATGAAGAGGAGGTGGAGCAGTTTGGGCGCGATGTGCTGCCGCTGGTCAGGAAGCTCGAGGCCGAGGACAGGGGCAAGGATGCCGCGTATGAGATTGAGCAGACCGGCGACGTGTACCGGAAGAAGAGCTCATAGGCAGGTAGCTAAGGCAACTAGCCAGTTGTAAAAACCACGGAACCGTGATTCTTCAGAAGCTTCATCCGTAGCGGACCTGGACGTGAATGGCATCGCCCTGAGTCAACGAGACATCCACAGAATCCAGCCGTGGGGGAAACACCCAATTCGACTGATCCGACTCGTCGTCGCCGTTATACGCGCTGATGGCGTACTCGTAGTCCCAAATCGACGGCGATGCCCAGATGGCAATGGTGACCATGCTTGGCTCGAGCGATGATCCCTTCTCCTGTCTAGCGGGCGTTGTCTCTGCCGTCTTTTTCGGGGGTACTCGCAGTTCGAGATGGCCGTGTCCCCGGATCCAGATCGAGTACCCGGCCGCACCATCGACCTCGGGACAACTCAGCTCGAGATTCTGCGCATCGAGCGCTTTCGCACGCACAGGGGTTGGTGTCTGCGGTTTCCCCTTGCCCACAATCACAGCGTGGGCGGATGCGTAGCGCCCTTCCCCAGCGGTGGTCCAGGTCGACATGTTGATGAAGTACCGGTGGCCGGGTACGAGACCGGTGAGTTTAGTCTTGTTTCCTCGCGCGCCCACGAGGCTGGGAAACGCGCCGGGCTGGTCTCCATCAAAGTACAGGATCCCATATCGGTCAATCTCGCCGGCATACGGACGTCGGGGGGTGTCCCAGGAAATAGCAAACCCGTCTGCGGTTGCGTGAGTGATGATATTGCTCGGCGGGGATGCTGTCTCTGGCTTCGCCACGGCCGAAGCGATGTCACTCCAGGGCGAGTGGACGGAATCACCACCGTTGCTGCGTACTCGACACTCGATCACTTCGCCTTTCCGCTGTGGGGGCCAGTAGTACGTGGTGCAGTTTAACTCATTGGTCGTCCAGTCGCGTTCACCAGCCAACCTGCGCTGAAGGCAGTACCCCAGAGCGCCATAGACGGGTTCCCACTTGACGACAATCCCGCCTGGCGTAGAGATAGCCTTCAACCCTGCCGGCGTGCTCAGAGGTCGGGGGGGTATGTGTTTAGGAATCACGAGAGAACTGCGACCGATGCTAAAGGCTGACACCAATGTCCGCGAGAAGGCCTGGGCGAGCTCGTAGTCCCCCAGGGCGTTAGGATGAAGCCCATCATATGCAGCATCCGATTTAGATCCGCCACCTACACATATTAGACTGTGCTGACGATTCTACGCGGGGACGAAACTCACAAGAATAGTTATCACAAAACCGCACCAGCGCAATCGGTGACTTGGGCGTGCTCCAGTAAGGAATCACCTGCGCCAGCATGCTATTGTAAACCCTAGTATCCACCGGCAAGTCCTCTCTCCCCGGAAGATCCGTCCGCTGCGGGATATCGGCAATAGCCAACTTCACATCCGGCTTCGCCGCCCTCACCTCGTCCACCAAACACTTCATATCCGTCAGCGCCACGAGAGGCCCACACATCCGCCAGCCGAGGTCATTAAACCCGAGCTGGACCAGACACACATCCGGCTGATACACCGCCACCTGCGCCTTCACAAGGTCTTTCGCCTGGCAGACTTGCTGTCCACTCGCCGCGAAGTGGTCCGAGTTATCCAGGAAATCCGCCTCGGCGCCCGCTGCGTACCCACCGTCAGTCCGCAGCGGCGCGGGTAGCTCGGCCGGGTCGTCCGGGCATCGAGGCGGGCGTGGAGGGTGCGCCTCGTCGGGGGGCACGGTGCCTTTGTAGGGCCCGACGAAACGGACGTTGGGGAGCCCTTCGTCGCGGACGAGCCATTGCCAGATGCGATACCGCCATGTCCAGTCGCCTTCGCGGCCGTGGGAGATGGAATCCCCGATGACCATCAAGCGGATCGGATCCGCGTCAGGGTCGGGGTGTTGTTGGTGGGCGGAAATGTTATTTTTGGCTTTTTCCATGTTCAACTTCAACCGGGTGGGGACACGGCAAATGTGACCGTCGCCCTCCTTGCCGAGTTTGTTGTGCCTTGTTGGGAAGAAGAAACAATTGCTCGGGCCTGTCGCTTTCGGGGGAAGTGGGCTCGAGGTGCGCAAGGAGAAGTGAGAATCGGGTGAACTTTAGGGTGTTGCAGGGGTTGCTACAGTGGGGCGTCCCGCGCGAGATGACAGACGACAGGGGTTTGACGGGCTGGTTTGCTTTCGCTGCTGGGCTCGCTGTGCCAGGCGGGCCGCCCCTGGCACGTAAGCACTGTGAGGAGCTTATTTCAGGGTTCGGGTTGTGACCCACTCACGTGCATCCCTGATCGAAGACGCCAACTTCACGCCTTCCACCTTCTCCCCTTTCTTCCACATCCTGTGCCGAGGAACCGTTGACAACGGCGGGTTTCCGCCTCTTGTCTTGCCCCAGAAGTCTCGTGTAGTGTACGCTAGAACCCCTACAGAACATGGGCTTGTGTTCCCAGTCCACGTCTGAATCACCCATGTCACCCAACACTGGCGCAGATCCAGTCGACCGCACCATGACGGGGAATTTGGGAAATCGGGGACAATCTCTCCGCGGCCTTTCCGAAACACCGCGCTCGACCGGGGCTGCCGACCTGCAAGAAAGTGACTCTGCGCACACTTGGCGAGCTTGACCCAACAGCACCGACATTTCCCACAAGCAAACATGGCTTGGCGATGTCCAGTTTGGTTCAAGTTTGGTTGCAAATGGTTGGTGTGCCTTGCAGATCCAACCGTCTGGCCCACGAGCGAACTCAGGGGTCGGCAGGCGTTCTCAGGAACCAACCCACAAACAACGCTGCCAACGGCGTGATTTGGCCGATCACAGGCGACACCCCCAGTGGCCCTTCACCGGGCCATGCGAGACCCCCTGGTAATGTGGGCGGGTTGTGGGTGAGAGCGTCGTATTCTGTCGATTTCTTTTTGATGATTTTGATGCCAGCGGTGCGCGGCCGCCCAGACAAAACCTGGACCGCCAGCCTGGCAGGGCTGAAGTTGTTGTCGAGATATTTCATCCCTCTCTCTCACCGAGTTTCTGTCTTTCGACAACCTCACCATCTCTCCACGGCGTTCTCTCTTTCGGCGTCAGTCACTCTTTTACCGTCCTTCGGGACACTTACACTCTTTTTGGCCCTCACAGAAAGAACATCAAGCAAAAAACCACATTCTTTTTTTATTTTAAAATAATAAATACAAAATCACACATACACGAAAATGCACAAATTTATCCTCTTGGGCGCCCTGCCCTCCCTGGTGCTCGCCACACGCGGCTTCGCCCCTACTCTCGAGCCCCCCGGGCAAACCATCGGCATCGGCGTCGGCATCGGCTCTGAGGCCTGCCAAAACAAGGGTATGCGGGAGTGCGGCCGCGGCTGCATCCCCCTCGACTACAACTGCTGCCCCTCGCAGTCCGGCGGCTGCCCCTCCCAAGCCGAGTGCATCATCGGCGATGGCGGCCAGGATACCTGCTGCCCCTTTGGCGAGAACTGCCAGGGCGACAACGACGGCGGTGTAGGCTGGCCAGGCGGCCCGGGTCACGGCCACGGCCCGAACCCCCCACAGACCTCGACGACCTCAGACGGCGGTATCGGTGCGGAGCCTACTCCTCCCGGTCCTGGAGATGGGTCCGGGGATGTTCCTATCGAGACGCCGGGCCAGCCGGACCCGACGTGGTTGCCGGATCCGACGGACCCTCCCGCGGAGTCGAGCACCACTTCGGCGGACTCGACGACCTCGACCCCTGAGTCGACTTCGACCACTTCCACCGCGGAGACCACTACTTCTCCTCCCCCGGTCTGGCCGCCTACGGACGCCACGACCACGACTACCAGCAGCTCTAGCACCACCAACACGCCCCCCAACCTGCCGACTCCGCCTACCGACAACGGTTCCCAGCCGGGTGATGATGACAACAACGGCCCGGGCTACCCTGGCGAGGGCAACAACTCGGGTGATGACCACGGTCACGGTCACGGTCACGGTCACGGTCACGGCGATGGCCATGGTCATGGGGATGGTAATGGTCACGGGAACGGAAACGGCAACGGTCACGGTCATGGTGATGGTCACGGTGATGGCAATGGGAATGGCAACGGGAATGGTAATGGCAACGGCAACGGGGACAACACTCCCCCTCCTCCGCCTCCTCCCCCAGCCAGCGAGACAAACACTCCCTCGCCTCCCCCGGCCAGCGAGACCACCACTTCCACCACCTCCACCACCTCCACCTCAACCATCACTCCGGACCCGAACCCGACTCCCAACCCGAATCCCAGCCCCAGCCCTGATCCCAACCCGGGCAACAACCACCCCGGCGGGAACCCGAACCCCAACCCGGGTAACCCCCCAGTATTCACCCTCCCCTCCTCTCTCACAACCCTCACCACAACATCAACCACAACCAGAACATCCACAACCACCCCCTCTCTCCTCCCAACCCCCGGCACCCCTCCTCCCCCTCCTCCTCCTCCTCCGGTCCCAACTAGCTTCCCTCCTGTTCCGCCTATCAGTCTTACTACCATCGCCCAGCCTTCGACGACCACTACCCCCATCGGCTCGGGCAGTGGTAGTGGCTCGGGCACTGGTTCCGGCACCGGAAGCGGTAACGGCAATGGTCACGGAAACGGGAACGGCAACGGAGGTCACTTCCCCCCTCCGCCTCCGCCTCCGTACTACGCGAACGGTACCACCACAGGCCCCAGCGTGCCTATCGTCACGGGGGGTGCAGCAGGTATGGCTGCGGGGGGCCTTGGTGCGGCGAGGGTTTTGGGGATGAGTGTGTGTGCTGTGGTTGTTGGGTTTGTTGTTATGTTTTTGTAAGGGATCCTTTCTTCCTTTTATAGGAATGGGTTAAGCTTTTTTGTTTCTTCGGGGCTGGGGGAGCGGGGTTGTTGGGAAGAGAATAGGAGGAGAGAGAAAAAGGGTGGACGGGTGGACGGGTGGACGGGTGGACGGATGGAAGACGAAGCAGAGGGAGAAGGATAGGATGGGATGGATGTAGTTGGAAAGTGTGAGGAATCGAGTCGAGGTTGATCGATCAAAGCGGAAAGGAGGTAGCGATGAGGATGCTGGATGTTTGTCTACATCGACAGGCGATCCAGGAGAGGTAGTGGCGAAGCCGGGGAAAGACGGATTAATGCCGATCTCAGCGGTCCAATGTTGTTGTAATGCGTTGATGGAATAGACGTTGTATTATGTTTCTGGTTCACTTCTTGCCCCCGTTCCTCGGCCCGCTGAGGACTCTTGGGGCGGCTCCCTTCAACAGGAGCTCGTTTATCAATTGGGCCCGCCGCACACACAGTCAAAAAAGAGGGCCATTTCTCAAAACCTTGGTATTTCCGTTTGGTGACTTTCTTTGTTACTCGGTTACCCTGGCCTATTTACCTCTATCCTTAATGTCGTTTCCACTATTGCATCTCCCCAGGTACTAATCACAATGTAAAGACAAGCCCACTACTCAATGACAGGCCCACTCCAATAGACACAACGTGCGTTTACATGCAAGCAGCACCGTCAATGCCGAGGACCTTGCCGTTGATCCACTCTCCGTCCTGAGACGCCAGGAAGCAGACCACACGAGCAATGTCGATGGGCAGACCAACGCGGTGAAGGGGAGACCAGCCAGCGGCATACTGCAACAGTCAATTAGCTCATGTCGTACAATAACGAGAAACACCGGCTATGCATACCTCATCCACACCCTCGTCGTCGAGCTTCTCGCCATTGGGAATGTACTCGCGGCACACGGCGTGATACATGTCCGTCTTGATGCCACCAGGGGCAACAGCGTTGACGGTGATCTTCTTGTCGCCAAAGTCTGATACCTGTTAGCGAATGTCCTCGTATCAGATGTCAGGCAACCACTTACCAACAGCCATGCAGCGCACAAAGGTCTCGATGGCGCCCTTGCTGGCTGAGTACACGGCGTGGCGCGGGACAGCCTTGGCCTGCCCGGTGATGGACCCCATGAGGATCAGGCGCCCGCCAACCTCGAGGTGCTTGTACGCCTCACGGGCCACAAAGAACTGGCCACGGGTGTTGACGTTGAAGACCCGGTCGAACTCTTCGGGGGTGACATCCTTGACGTGTCCAAACGACACAATGCCGCTGTTGGAGCACACCACATCGAGCTTGCCAAAGGTCTTGCGAGCCTCCTGGAAGAGGCGCACAATTTCGTCAACATTGGCCACGTTGGCCTTGATGGCCGCTGCGTCAGACCCGCTCTTCTTGATCAGGTTGACCACCTCCTGCGCGGACGAGTCGCTGTTGGCGTAGTTGACAATGACCTTGGCACCACGACGTCCCAGCTCCAGAGCCATCTCCCGGCCGATGCCGCGCCCTGGTGAAGTTAGTGACCATCATACCCAAACACGGCCCGAGAAGCATTGAAATTTCATTTGTAAACGGAACCCGAATACATTTTGCCACTTGGCCCCCACTCTGCATTTATTTGAGAAAAAGAAAACAAAACTGATACGGACTTGGGCAGTGGGGTTGCCGCTGCTGCGGCCGGACATTCAGTTGGGGAAATGTACCGGCTCGTCCGACAGGGGTGCCAACGTGCCCATGTTCCACAACACCAGCTCCCCAGAACCAGATTTTGGACTACCGGTTTGGGAAAGAGAGGAAATGAGTATAATATTCTGTCAGATGGTACGTACCAGCTCCGGTCACGAGAGCAACCTTGCCAGCAAGCGAAGCCGACGCCAGCCCGAGAGGACCCGGGATCTGGTCGTACTTGCTCCCAGAGCCGGTATTACTGGTAACGCCAGGCATTTTGACTCGGTCTGTGGTAGTTGTGTTTTGGGATTGTTTTTGGAACGTGAAAGCCGACGAAGTGGGCGATTGAGGAGCAGACTGGTGGACGATGGCCTCTTTGGTCTCTATGTGGGAACGGGAGGGGAGGAAATGAGAGACGAGACGGCGAAATATATCAGTGAGTTTCATCCGGCCGGCTGCGCAAAGCCCGTGGAAGGAACGCAATTCAAAATTCGAAAGGCAGGTGCTTGTCCGAGCCCAAGGCCGAGGCGCATCGGTGCTTGTTTTATCTTTTTTCCCCATATTTGGAAGGCCAGCCTGGGCCCGGGCGACAGCGGGCTCCCCAATTGTACAATGGTATGTGCTTTGGTGACGCTCGGGTTGGGAAGTCCGGCCGCCGGACGATGTTGGAGGAGTACCGGTGGACATTTCGGACTTGGTGTGTGGAAGCAACCAGACTGACAGGGCGTTATAATACACCGTAATTCATGTCGACTTACATCCCCGCGCTTTTGAGCTACTGTATCTTACGGGATTTAGTAATGTGGCCCCCAATTACGTATCTCCGGCCTAGACTCCTGGAGCAAGAGCAAGACGCCCAGAACACCCGTGCCTTGCATCAATGGCGGGTTGGTCTTTCCAAATTTGTCTCCCCTCTTTAATCCACCTCCCCGTCCACAGTTCCTTCCGGCGTTTAACAATCCACTTATCGTTCTAGGCAGACGGGTGTTAACGTCACCCCAGGCGCGGTATCCGTTACGCTCAACTCGCCAGCTGCAGAGGGGTTAGTACAGAGATATCGAGCGGACTCCATTCAACGGGTCGAAAGAAGTTCCGTGTGCCTCGAAATGACATCCGTACCTCGGGTGGGTAAGGTGTTCTCTAACGGCCGCTCCAGTTCAATGTTTCGGAGTTAGTTGGGTGGGACGGGCGAGACCTCAGACAACTTGGGCAAGAAGCAACCACAGCCGAATTTTATTCGTCTAGTATCAAAAATATATCTACCTGAGTTGTTTTCCATGTAGCTCGCAGTCCAATCTTTGCCAAGGCGACTACACCGACTTTACAACGCGGTCTGAGACAATATTGCACTGTTAGTGACTCTTGCGTTGTTCAAATTTCCCCCCTACGGAGTAGTCAGGGGAGGCGACCTGGCTCTTGCGGCTGGGGTTTGTTTATTCTACCTGAAAAACCCCCCAGAACAGAATCAAGGAAAGAGCGAGCGAGGGCACATCTGGGGCCCTAAGTTCCTAGGTACCTTGTGACCACCTGTTAGCACTATTAGGTTTCAACCCAACGTGTTGGAAACCGATAGGTCAAAGGTTGATAATGAGACCTCTCCAGATTCGTACTTAAGGCAGAGAAACAGAAAAATTTCCAAATCACGTTGGGGATCGGCCTGTATCTTACATTGCCATTACAGTTTAGCCCATACCACGCCGTTCAAGAGAGTGTTGGTAGCGGTCAGGCGCCGGCCCACGTTTTCAGGCCGCCACGTTGGGGACAAAAACACTGATCAGGCAAGGAACCAAAATTTACAACCTTCCGGAACCAAGTTTCCGGAATCAACTTTTACGCCGGAACAACCTTAATTCCACTGCATCAGTGCATCCTCGCACAACCATCCGAGCACCTGCACTCCAGTAAAGTGCACAACCGCAAACTCTCAGGCACAGCTTTGACAATGGCGGGTCTCACAAAGGCTGATCAATATGCGAGCCAACATGCATCTGCGGCTTTCTCGAACTGGTTAGCCCTACAGAGCAGGCTCCAGTCGCAACAGTCTGTGATCGTCAATGGTCGAGATTTGAGCATCGCGGACGTCCTGGCCGTTTCTTTGTGAGCAATCCTTTCTCCTAACTATCGTTCAAACCATTTACCGGATCAATCTCTGACGACATCTCGCAGACACAAGGGCATTGCCCAACTATCTGACGACCCTGACGACTTGCGCCTTGTCGAGGAGAGTGTCGCCTTTCTGAAACGCGAGCTTGAGGCTGGCAAGATCATCTACGGCGTGAACACCGGATTTGGAGGTAGCGCTGATACCAGAACCGACAACCTTCGTGAACTTCAGAGTGCCGCTGTGCAACATTTGAACGTTGGCATCCTGCTCCAGGCCGACAAGTCCAACTCGAATTCAGATGCAAGCGAGAACGGACTGCTCCGCAGCCATGCATTGCCCACCCCGATTGTCAAAGCGGCCATGCTGGTCCGCTGCAACTCGCTTATGCGCGGCCACTCAGGCGTCCGTGTTAGCGTTATTGAGTCCGTCATGAAGCTGTTGGCTCTTGATATGACCCCAGTTGTGCCTCTGCGGGGAAGTATCTCGGCGTCGGGCGACTTGTCGACCTTGTCGTACATTGCTGGCGCGGTGGAGGGTAACCCGGACATTTTCGTCAGAGCGAATAGCAAGGATAACACAACCAAGATTCTCCCCGCAGCGGAGGCACTCAAGCTCGCTGGGATTGAACCCGTGCGCCTCCAAGCTAAGGAGGGTCTGGGTGTCACCAACGGCACGGCTCCCAGCTGCGCGGCTGCGTGTTTCGCCATCAACCAAGCCAACCAGCTCGCGCTGCTGGTCCAGCTCCTTACCGCCATGACGGCTGAGGCTCTTGACGGGACGGCCAACAACTACCATCCCTTCATTTCCGCAGTCCGCCCGCACCCTGGTCAGGCCGAAGTTGCCTCCAACATTCTTAAATTCCTCTTCGGTTCTAAGATCTGCCCGCCATCCTGCTTGACCACGTCTCTTAGCCGCATCGGTCTCGCCCAAGATCGTTACGCGCTGCGCACCGCCCCGCAATGCATCGGCCCGCAGCTTGAGGACCTGCTGCTCGCCACACGCCAGGTCACCATCGAGCTCAATTCCACCACGGACAACCCGATGATCGAAACCACCTTGTCCTCGCATCTCCAAGATGGCTTGGCCGCCGACCGCATCCATCATGGTGGTAATTTCCAAGCCTTTGCGTTGACGTCCGCCATGGAGAAGACCCTACTTGCCTTGCAAAACCTTGGCCGGCTCCTGTACGCCCAGTCCTCAGAGCTCATCAACAATGCTACCAACAAGGGCCTGCCGCCCAACCTGTCGTTTGATGACCCGAGCCGCAGTTTCACCTGCAAGGGCTTCGACGTCAACATGGCCGCCTATGCCGCCGAGCTGGGATACCTCGCGAAGCCCGTCAGTACCCATGTGCAGGTCTCCGAGATGGCGAACCAGAGTGTGAACAGCATGGCGTTGGTCGCAGCCAGGTACGCCTTGGAGGCGGGCGAGATAGTCTCGCTGATGGCCGGCACATATGTGTATGTCTTGTGCCAAGCGCTGGACTTGAGGTGCCTGAGGTTGGAATTTGGTGGACGCGTCAAAGGAATCGTGAAGACCGTAGTGGAAGATTGTTTCTGCGAGCAAGATGGGGAGGGTGGCCGTCACACCGAGCGGGCGGCGATCCTGGCTGAAAAGTTCACCGAGGCGATTTTAGGCCGCTGGGATGAACTGTCGCACCTCGACCTTGCTGACCGAGCCCGGACCGCAGTCAACGAGTCACTCGGCTCCGTTCTCAACTTCCTTCGTCTTGGGGAGGACACTCCCAACAAGAACGAAGCCCAGGGCAATGGCACTCCCAAGCCGGTTTCTTTTACAGCGGTCCTCACCTACCAGACCCGCATGGCCGAGGAGCTGGAAACTTGCTACGCCACCCTGCGCACCGAGTTCGTCCACCATCAAACCACCACTGATTACATCAGTCCTGCGTCGAGGGTTATCTATGATTTTGTGCGGAAGGAGCTCAACATCCCGCTGAACCGAGGCGTCGAGGATCATCCCCCGCTGTTGTTGCAGAAGGCGGAGAAGGAGAGGAAGAAGGCCGGCTCAAATGGAGCCGACCATAACGCGGCCTCGGAGAAGGTCTCTAACGGAGCTGAGGGTAACGCGGAAGAGGAACTCAAGCTGCGTGGCCGAACGCTCGGGACTATGGCCAGTGAGATCTACGAGGCGCTGCGGAATGGGATCCTCCATGATCGTATCATGGCCTTCGGTGAGAAGGCTGGATATTGGAGCCATTGAGGATGAATCGCATCGCTCTGGGACAAAAGGGGTAGATTCCGGAGAGCAAAAAGGTTATCCACGGGAACTGGTGGCCACAAAGGGTGCTCATGATTGTAGAGTAATGTAATTAGTAGTCCACATAGACTTGCTAAATTCGGAAGGCTATTTAGACCAAGGTTGTGCGCGAAGGGTGTTTGAATCTGTATACCTTCACAGCACTTGAGGGCGAGAGGGTCGTGGGACGCCCGTAACCATGCGAGGAGTGAGCAAATAATCGATCCTGTCGAGGTATTTTCATATTTGGGCTCATTCAAGCTCTGGTGTTAATTCTTCATATCCCCTTCCCAGTTGGTGTAAGTATTACTATTAACTAACCAACTAAAGCAATGTCTGGAGTTTTCCAAATGCAGTTGACAGCGCCATTAATAATTCAGTTAACAAGCCGATCCTCTGTAGCAATAACTATGGTTTAAAAGTAGCACAGCTGAAGGTGCGAAAAAGATGCGATTGAAATAAATTATATTCGAAACAGAGCTTTGTTATGTTAAGTTAGGCATGTACATATACATATAACTAGTACAAACTTACGTTAATTCACTTTGCCAGGTGTTTACTTTGTATGCCGGGCACTTTCATGGGTGTGAAAACAAAAGCTTCACCTCATCTTAGTTGATAGAAAACTGACTCTAAACACCGCTCTTGGGACGCATCCCGCTTCATATCCCTTAGTGAAACCAGCTTCTTTTGACCCGTTAAGCACGGCAATGAACGAACCTCCTGTAAGGTACCTATGTACCTAAGTATTCGGACAGAGAAAAAGGAAAGTGGGGCGATCACCACCGACCTTCGGCGAGTGGTTGGTTGAAGCGAAATCGCTGCGGCGGCGTTCTGCGGCGTCCGCTGTTCAGCGTTTACGAAGTACGGCGCATGTGTTTTCCAAGTTTCCCAGCAGCCCAGTTCCCCGCCAACAGAGCCAACACTTTTTTGGTTCTCCATCATCACCAGCTGAAAGAACCCCGCCTCCGAAGCATCTCGCCGACGCCAACAAACCTCTTTAATCACTACAATCATATCCCGTGAACCCCCGTCTCTCCGCATCATGGTTCGTTTTCCCTTCGGCGACACGACTTGATCAACGTCATACTCGAAAAGAGGAATGAATCAATAGACGTCCCTGTACCAGTGAGACTGACTGCCCGCCGAATCTGCAGAGCGTACACGGCGTACCCCCCGACCAGGTGGCCCTGTACAAGCAGGTGTTTGAGATCTTTGTACGTTCTTCCCACTCACTTATAGCCCATTTTTTCATAAAGTTTGAAGTCACGCGACCTGCAATCAATCAAATGCAGACAACGACACGCGTGGAACGGGTATGGTATGATCGTTGCAGTGGGCTAACCACCCGAGGGGCCCCGCGTCCGTGGCTGTGCTCCCGACTTGCAGGACAAGGATGGCACTGGTGAGTTCATTCCAACCAAGCATACATATTCCCACCCACCAAGCTCCGGCCGCGTTTCCGGTTCTTCGGGTTGCTTCCAAGTGTTGTATTGGATGGAGTTCGCAGGAGGAACGTTGCTGACGATGGGGCGCTAGGCGATATTACCGCCGATGAGCTCGGTCAGGTCATGCGCGAGCTTGGGTTGAACCCAACCGACAATGAGCTGAGGGATTTGGTCAACGAGGCCGATGTCAACAATGACGGCGTTATCTCCTTCGAAGGTAGGTTTACCCCGTACTTTTTGTTTTGCTGGTTTAAAGATCGGCTGTATTATTCAAAGGCCTAGAATCTCACACACGCATGTGCTCTCCGGGCTAGAATTCCTCAAGCTCATGTCCCATTCCGTGGATGAACCGGACGCGGAGGAGGAACTGCTTAATGCCTTCAGGGTGTTCGACAAGGACAACAGCGGCACCATCTCAAGCGACGAGTTGCGCAGCGTGCTCAAGTCGCTGGGCGAGAACTTGACAGACGCCGAACTTGAGGAGATGATCCAGATGGCGGACTCGGATGGAAATGGGACGATTGATTGTGAGTTTGCTTCGATGTAGCCGCCCGGCGCGGTCATTTTTGACAGAACTGACATGAAGTAGACCGTGAGTTTGCCAACATCCTGAAATGATCGGGCGTCCTTGTCTGGGCAGTGGAAAATGGTCTTGGATAATGTTGGGTGGTTGATTCCTGGGGGGCTTTGCTCTACAAGAACGAAGGTCGCTGCAACAGCGTTAGCGTGCCCGCGAATGGTTTAAAACGAGGATTGAATTGGCCTGTTCTCTCACGGGCGGCCGACCTGTGCCCGAATGTGAATGTGCTCAACTCCCATGCGATGCGCGCTACAGCACCAAGTCCAACAATGTCCCCCAATCCTCCTCGTTTTCCCGCCGAATCTCCACCGGCTTGCCCTCCTTGGCCAGAGCAAACAGACTGTTCCCCTTAAAATACACCAACACACCCTTCTTCCCACCTTCCACCGCAGAGATCCGAAACATCGGGCCTTCAGCATGTAGTCTTTCCCGCTCCGGCATGAACTGCATATCATGCTCCTGGCACCACACCTCAATCACCTCGCGGAATGTCGCTTCCCCAGCCGTCTTCTGGCTCGTGCCCGGGGCCGGAACCGGTAGTATTTCCGATGCTGCAGCAGCAGCAGCAGCGGCAGGATCCAGTTTGCTTCGAGTCTTCAACGCGGGCCCGTCTTCAGGCGGCTCCAACTCAGCCGCGGCCCTCTCACCCAAATCCAGCGCACGCTCAATCATAGCCCCGCCCTTCTCAAACTCCGCGGCCACCGCTGGTAGGCCACGTATCTCAGCCGGCAACGCTTCATCCTGCCACCACGTAAACCACGCGCCAATCTCGTTGTAGTCCGCCTCAGGCAGGCACAGCCAGCGATACAGCGCGGCATGCCAGGGCGGGAAGACTTCGGCGACAAGCACCTCCCCGAGCTCGAGGGGCCGCACGACAGACTGCCATTCGAGTACGTGATCGAGGATGTCCATGTAAGGGGCCTGGTCTTGGGGCTCGACGCGGAAGTGGGCGCGGAGATAGCGAGCCAGGCTGGGGAGAAGGTGGTTGAGTACGAGGGGTGTCCATTGGTCACTGCCGCGGGCATGGGAGCTGTCGGGGGTGGAGGTACGGCGGGCGAGCACGTCCTTCCACTGCTTCAGGCCTGGGATGACGCCGCGCTTGTAATCCCAGGAGTCGATCAGCTGGCGGAACTTGCGGCGGACGTCGGCGACAAGGCCTGTGGAACTTTTGGGATCGAGGTGGACGGCTGGGAGATAGGGCAGCCAGGGGAAAATCCAGCGGTGGGGGAGGTTGTGCGTGTGTTTGCGGGGTTGCCATTTCTGGAGGGCTTCTTCCAGCTTGCGGATGATGTCGTTGAGGAGTTGGGCGCGGACAAATGCGGGGAGGATCGGGGCCCAGCCGTCGAGGACGGCAATCAGCTGGTCTGAGTCGCGGACATTCCATTCCCGGACTGTCGCGGCGAGCGTACGAAGCCAGAGTTCGTACATCATGGTTTCGTAAGGGGTGGCGGTTGGTTTCCTGTGGGTCTTCTTGTGTTGGTGGTCGAGATTTAGGAGGTTGCGGATGGAATTGAGGCCGTCCACAAAGGTGGGTTTGGGCTCCTCGAGCGGCTCCCAGAGCTGGCGGTATTGGTTAAACAGGGGGTGGATAGCTGCAACGGCCAACGAGGACAGTTCGTCCTTGATCTGAGGCAGCATTGAGTCGGACAAGGAGTTGCTGGCTGTCTCAAGCCCAGCAATCACATGGTGTAGCTTGTAACTGATATCGGCCTTTCTGTCCAGTTCGCCGCTTTCAGTTGGCTTGGACGCCGTATCGCATGCTGTGGTGATGGACATGTTCCCTTGCAGACTCGCTGAGAGCTCTTCCATCTCTTGTTGTTCCTGCTTTAACTGCAACTCCAGGTACGCTTTGCGTTCTTGCAGGTTTTGCCATTCCTCAAGAATCGCCATAAAGTCATTCTGGGCGCGTTTGACAAGTTTTTGGTTCTCCACGGCCTCAACAGACTCGGCCGAGGCTACACCCCCCGTTGGAGTCATGAGCCCGGACGACGAAGTCAGCATTTTCTTTCCCGGCCCAGTCATATCAAGAATAGGCGTAAAGGCATCGGGAATATCGAGACCGGGCGCCGCCTTCTTGATCTCATCCATCGTCAAGTACTTGGGCTTTTGGCGCCTTGGAGTACTGGAACCACTACCAGCACCGCTGGAAACGCCCCCGGTCAACATTTTCTTCTTCCGTGCAGCCTTCTTCCTCTTCTTCTCTTCCTCTTCCGAATCAACCACCTCCTCCCCGCGGAGACGCGCTTGTCGCTTCTCTTCCTGCCTCTCCTGCTGCGACTTCTCCTTCACGGCTCCCAAACCAATACCCTGAGGCCGGAGATTGGCTTCAATAATGACGTTCCGACCCTGGCCTTCTTTCCCGAGGCCCTTGCCATCAACATACCCCATCTTAGCCATCATCCGAGCACCAAAGGATTTGGGGTTGATTTTTGTCCCGCCCTTCTTAGTTTGCCCAAATGCGCTCGGCATGGCGGCGCGTGGTGCAGCCGGTTCTTCCTCCTTCACCAGCAGCGTCGGGCCCCGCTCCGACATTGGTATAAAGCCATTTCCTAAGGGGTTGGCACTGTCGATCTTGGATTTGACAAATGATTTCGGCGGTGGATTCGTTCGTTTTGACGGCAACCCTTGCTGAGTCGATGGTGTCCAGCCCAGACCTTGCCCTACAGCAGCAGCAGCACTCCCGCCACCAAACCCCAATCCCACACCTCCCATCTGTTCATCTTCATCCTCCTCTTCCTCTTCTTCCACGGCAGCGGCTACCGCGCCGGGGTTCGACTCGTCGTACTCCTCATCCTCCTCTTCACTGCCACTACCTTCATCTTCATCCGAATCAACTTTCGCAGTCGCCGAAGAAACAAAACTAACCCCCTTATTCCGCAAGCTCTTGTGTTTCCACTTCCGGCTCGGCCCTTCATCCTCGCTCTCAGATCCAAATATCCCCAACGCCGCATCTTCTTTGGCATTTCGGCCGGTGCGCCGCCGTTTGCGGGGGTTGTGGTCGGCGAATTCACTGTCGTGCGGGTTGCGCGAAGGCATGAGGTATTCATCGTCGGCCTCGGCGTCGGATTCTGAGGACGAGTAGTCGGCTGCGCTCGCTTTGTTGAGGCGCGACGGGTCGAACCGCATCTCGTCTAGGCGCGCCATTGTAGGGTTTGGCGAAATACGAGTTGGGAAGTCCCAAGGGGAGGTTGGTAAGGGATTGGGCCGGTTTGTGTTGAGGATCCGGATTTTCCCCAAGATTTTAGATTCGCGGGTACCTTGAAGGCAGCCAGTCGCGCCTCGGTGGCGTCACAAGCTTCGTGGCACATAAATGCATGTATCTAGGGTATTCCACCGCGATAGCAGCATATTGATCTGTATGCGCCAAGCAAGAGTTCCGCCGCAGTCAACCCTAACCCTGGCCCTGCCCCTGAGGTCTAACACCCACGACAGATCGTTGGCGAAGAGCTACCTAGGTACACGGCGGATGCTGATGCGTTTGTGGTGCCGCCGACGCAGGGTTCTACAAGATCTTGGTTGTACCAGGCAACTGACCGAAAAATCCACTTCTAGTCCTGCCGCCGTTCGCCCTCAGTCCTGTCGTGCGACGAACCTGGAGCTTCGGCACATCACACTCCACATCGGATTCGGCTTGAAGAGGAAATAACGTTGCTTGTTAAGGGTAACGATTGCGGTAAATACATATTATTTTCCTGAACATACAATCCAAATTTTTCCCTTTCGGCCTTTCCGCTCCAACTAATTACAATGCTAACCGCTGCGCATTTCAATACAGCCAATCATGTTTCTTCTGCAAAAAGTAATGAATGTGTATCACCCGGTGAATCCCGTGCTCTCTGCCCGATGCCAGCCCCATACTCAGTACTCAGTCTGGGTACTGTCCTCGGGCACAGTCAACGGGTCCTCCAAGATGCCCTCCTCCTGACGTTTTTGCTCCGCCAGGCGCTCCCGCACTCGAGCCCTTCCCGTCTCCCTCAACCTCTCCCATTCCTTGCTCCGCGCCAGCTCCAGATACTGGGCAGCCACCACCATCGCCTGGTAGACAAAGGTCCCGAACTTGTCGCCAAAGACCCTGGTTGTCTTCCCGGTATCTAGCCGTACCTCGACGGTCGGCATGGTGGCGTCGCCCTCCTGAGGCTCCGTCACGGAGAACGCACCCGGGAAGATCCGGTTGGCCATGTAGACGGCATCCGACCAAACTGCCGGCTGGCTGAGGATGTAACTCCCCGCCGGAACGAATTTACTCGGGGTGCCATAGTAGTCGATCCCGAGCGCCTCGACATGCACCCGCGCAACATCGTCCACAAGGACGGTGGTGCCCGCGTGGGGGCCGAGGATCGTGCCACTGAGCAGGTGGACGATCAGGGAGTTGGATCCCTTCATAGCCCGGGAGGCGTTGACGCCCGGGACGTTGTTGCGGCCCAAGACGAATCCCGGGTGCAAATAAACGGCGTCGAACGCCGGCCGGTTCTCCTCCATCCACGTCTCGGACGCCCGGAGCGCGGAAATCTTGGACGCCACGTACGCGTCGATGTCGGTGGCGTACGGACCCGGATTGGCCAAGACCCGATCATGGGCCTCATAGACCCGGTTGATCGGGCGAACCCGACCAGAAAGCCGCAGCTGGGGGACGATCGCCGCCAACGAGCTGGTCATGACCACGCGGCGCACGCTGCCCGCGTTGGCGGCCGCCTTCAGGATGTTGAGAGTACCACGTACCGCCGGGCGGACGTAGTACTCCTCCAGTTCCCCCTTGGCCACGACATTCTTGCCGTAGGCTTGGGGGGATGCGCAGTGGATCACTGCGCGGGCGCCAATCATGGCCTCGTCGTAGGCCCCCTCGGCAGTGATGTCGGGCACCACGACAAATTGGAGCCTGCCGCTCTGGTGCTTGGCGCGGCAAAGATTGTTGCCCAAGAGGAGGTCCTTCTTGGACTCGGATCGTACGGCTGCACGAACCCGGTACCCCTGGCTCAGGAGCTGGAAAAGGGTGGCACTGCCGACCTGGCCGGTGGCGCCGGTGATGAGGATGAGAGGGGAGATCATGATGAATGTTGTGGGTGGTTGGCGAGAGGGTCTTGTGAGTTGGTGGTGACAAGTTGCAGAAGTCTTGTTGAAGAACAAGTAAACGAAAGGTGAGAAAGAGCTTAATGAAGCGAATGTGAGTTCAGAACGAAGGTTGGTCGAGCGAGTGTTGGTGTGAGTTGTGTTGAACGTTCCGATGGAATCAAGAGGAGGTGGTGTGTGTGATGATGTGGAAGGAAAGAACCAACCCCGACGAACTGGGAAAGTACGGGGCTTTATATCCTATTTCTGGCTTCCCTTCAAGCTTCACTTCGGGCTTCCTCGTCGCGCCGATGAGGGTCGCGAGTCCGACAAAGGCCGCTCGAAGAATCGCCGGTGAGCAACATGTCGCTATGACAATTCAGATGCTCTCGCAACGAGACTCAGTTAGGACGGACCACATGTGCTCAGACCTATTTTCCCACAACGATGTCTGAGCACCGGCCTATTGGTCATGCGAACAGCCCATAAGCCCTTGTAGCAGTGCTTCAAGGCAATGTAGATGGACCGAAGAGTCGAAGACTCGTTCGGTGAAGTGTGGATTGATGAACTTTGGTTCACCGGTTAGAACCCCATATCCCAAGTCTCATCGACTGTCGCCGTCGGAGTCAACCAGCTCGGAGTCAATCGATAGGTGTTTATCTTTTCCCCTCTACTTCGGATGTAAGTGGCCAACTTAATACGTCACGGGGCTTCCATACAACACCCTCGGACCCTTTTCTTCACCATTTGACTCCTCTAGAGGCGCGGCCTTCTCCACATTCGGCGAGAAGACCGAGAGCCCGAACGCCCCGAACACCGACAGCAAGAGTGACGATACTAAGATTAGCGGACAGTACGGCACTAATCTTGAACCGGCGCGGATGCGAATATACGGCGGCTGTCCGAAGCACGGCGCGGGAAACACGTGGCAAGAAACAACCCTGACGCGTGAAGCCGACCGCGTCTGAGGCACGGTGCCAGCGACATGTGGTGGGATACAACATTGACGCGCGAGCCCGACGGCCCCCGAGGCACTACTATGTCGTTTGGGAATCTCTACTTTCATGAACTGGGGGACATGTCTGATAGTAATTTGGCCGTTTAAGGGCCTATTCATTGCATACGTAGCCAATCATCCACCTTGACTCCTACTAAACCGCAAAGTCAAACCTCGCTACATTATATTACTCCAATACACATAAGATCATAAACCATTAACCCAACATCACCCCCACCTAGGTCCCTTAATTAACCCCTTAATCAACCCCTTAGTAACCCTTGGTAACCCTTAGTAAGGCGATTTCCACGGCCGGCACTTATCCGCAGCGCAATACCCATTGCAGCACGGCCCTATCCACTGACCATCGTGACCATAGCAGTCGCCGTACGTGGGCACGCACATGCCCTCGCAGCTCACGCTGACAATGGGCGTGGGCGGGCCGACCAGGATCTGCCCGTTGCCTTCGGGCGAGATGCTGCTGGCCAGCGTGACGACGGCCCCCGAGGCGGTGGTGAAGTGGCATTGCGGGTACGCGTTGTAGTCGGGCGCGTCGATGATGTTGATCGCGAGGTCGGGATGGTCTGTGGGTGGGATGGGTCAGTTGGGGGTTGCTGTAGCAGGGATGGTTGTTTCCTTTCTTTCTTTTTTTGGGTGTGTATGTGTGAATGTGTGTTGGTAAACAAGGATAGAGGACTTACTGGTCTGGTGGACGCTACCGTCAGCTGGGAGGGCGAGGGAGTACTCGGCCGGGCCGGCATGGAAGGTCAGATGGACGGTTTGCACGGCTTGACGCTCTTCGAGGGGGATGGCAGAGACGCCGGCCATGAGGCCGAGTGCCGGAGCGAGGATGTTGAGGTACTTCATGATGGTGTAGATGTGGTTACTGATCAGACAAATGAATTATGTGTAGACTATATCAGCCTCTCGATGTTGTAATCTCACAAGTCAATGTCAACAGGTCACAGAAACTCAAGTCCCATGGGCGAGTCAACGCAAGACTCCCCTTTTATACCTCAACTCCTCCAACCCACAACTCATCCCGCGCTCACTCTCCATGCCCGGTCTTGAGCCATTAAGCGGGGGATTTTTGACGAGTGACGATCGTCGTTGGTCGTTGAGCGGAAAGCAAACGCAGTTTCCCAGCCTTAGCTTGAGAGCAAGCGAACTTAGCGAAGCCCGATCTCCGATGTGACGCTGTTTTTAGGAACGGCTGCACAACACAAGGGCAAATACGAGATTTCGAGAAGCTGCGGCTTGGCATCCTTGCTCTGCCGTTCCCGTGGCGTTGGAACCAGCGCAGCAGCTGACCGCCTGAATTGCCTTTTGAAACTTATGACTGGATGAAGGTTTACCGAGGAGGAAACCTGATTTTTGATTTCTCCACGTTTTCATTGGGGACTGGGGAGACTCGTGGGAAACACCAAGTGGGAAAGGAATTTTGGGGCGTCATCATCCCCGACCCTCCCTCGGAAGCCTTCTTCAAGCTTGGCCTATCCTTACCCAGGCTTCCCTCAGAGCATCCGATCACAACCAATCAGGGAAAATGCAGCATTCGGTTCCGGGCCCAGAATTGTAGTGCACGTGAGTTACGAGAGAGAAGGCTGCATTATGATGGGTTGGGTTTCTCAAGCCAAGTTCTGGGGCTGCGTGCAAGTACGAGTTGTGCGGGAGGGTAAAGTAAGACGGGGTAATATTTGGTGTTGGGCAGCTGAGGCAACCAGCCAAGCTCTCAACCTGAGGCGAACGAAAGTTGATTCCAGTTTGGATAGCCTGAAATCTTCAACCCTGACACTTGGCAAAAATGAATGAATTTCGAAGGGAAACCATCTCGTAACCAGAAAGTTGAAGAGCAAATCAAATCACCTGAGAGCAGGCCATTGTAAACGGGGATGATGGGAATTCAACCAAGGTATTGGGCGGGAACTGTTTAAAGTTTGGCTCTAATTATTTTTTTGCTCGAACTGGCCGATAATATAATTCACGTCGCATCATTAGAACTGGTTGAAATATCTCACCATTTTCTTAATATTTAATTACCTTTGAACCCAGGGCGATGCCCATGTTAGGAACCTAGCCATCGTACCTTTTCAAATGATCAGTTTGTTCGTGATTTCAAGTTGATTTATGTTGAATTTTAACAAGGGAAGTTTTGTCCTTTGCACCCAAGTTAAAGCAGAGGGGCTGAAAATGTAGATTGAAATATCCGTAAAAGATTCCATGGAGACTTGGATAATACCTATTTCGTTCCCCTCCGATCGAGTGGTTATCTATGAACGGAATCAAACCCCTCGCTGTACGCCGGTGACGCCTTAAAACAAATCAGACCAGCCAAGATATCATTGTCGTGAATCGTAACCCATTCCACTGCTCTCAACCACCATCTGCGCCACGATATCCTCCTGCTCCCTCGTCATCCGAAACCCCCCCTTCACAAACCGTCCCGCAACTACTCGGCCCCCATCCTCTTCCATTCCACCACCACCACCATCTCTAGCATACCTTTCCCACCTCCCCATCCTCAAATTCTCATCCATCCTCGGAAACGCCGAATTCCGCGCTCTCGCCCCCTCATTCATCCGATTCATCCACTCAAAGTCCGACATATCGTCTTTAGCACCACTCGGAAACCCAAATGTCGCCGCTGTTGCCACTGCCTCGCCACCACACCCTCCTCGCTCACCAAACGGGGATAGCGATCGATGGCTCGCGGGCGACTGTGACCCCGGCGCGAAGGGGTTCGCGCCCGTGGCGCTCAGATTATCGGCCAGGTAGGCGTTGTGAGCTTCCAGGTCCGGGTCGTGCTCGAAGGGCAGGTCCAGGTCCATCTCCATGCCCATGCTCCCGCCCATATCCATGTCCACGTCCCCAATTAGGCCCAGATCCAGGTCAATGTCGTCGTCGTCCAACTCTGGGATCGCGGGCGGGAAATATGTCTCGTGCATTGAGGGAGGAAGAGAGTCCGGTAGCATGGCTGGTAGCGGATAAGGTAGATCCCAGAAGTTTTTGGGACTGGGGGGTTGGGCGACCGTTGAGGCCTCATATACAGCCGCTGCCGGGCGGGATCGTTTGGCGCGGCCTGAGGGAGAAGGGGAGGATCGGGAGGACACCGTTCGCTTTCCGCGTTTTCTGGGGCTCGGTTGGAAGGGTGGCATGAATCCTAGTTCGTCGTCGGGAAGGGTGATTCTGGAGAGCATGGGCTCTTCAAGGAGGGGATTGGCGAAGGGAGAGTTGCCGCCGTCCATGTCAAGCTCGATGGTTGAGGGATACCCGGCCGCTCCCAAGCTCGTTGCTTGGGACATGGTGGAATTGGGTTCTTATGAAGTTTGTCGCTGCTGTTGGGCTGTTGAAGCGATTTCTCGAGGATTGATGGTGCAATGATGGATATTCAGTTCTCCTGGTTGATGATATCCAACTCCCGAGGTCAGGCGCTCTCTCACCGACCTCGAGAGGTGCACGGTGGTTGCTTATAAGCAGAATGGGCAAGTTTCACAAGCAGGCCTCCGAGTCCGAAGCGCGTTTGTGTTTTTGAAAAGAGGCATCATTTTCATGTAGAAATGCAGCCTCGCTTTGCCACGTCAAAGGCGACTGACCTTCGCGGGCCACGTTAATAAAGGGAAGCCTCGCGCACTCCCGCGTTGGTTGCCTTTGCCAGTTAAAGTCACATGGGTGAGAATTGGAGGCGAACGAATCGCATCTCGGGTCCCGAGACAGGCTGTTCTTTGTCTCCTCACCAACGCGTTAGTCAACAACCTGCCATTTCGCAAAACTCTCAAGATTTATCCATGTAAACCAATTCGAATATGCATTAATTGAACTTGTCACGAAAAAGGCAGATTTAGAATCCCGTTTACTTTCATTTAATTTGTTTTTGCCGTTTGTTGACCAGGGGTTTCAGCTCGCCTTACTAACTCTAGCACCTTCAAGCCTTAACGCGGGTCTGGCATAGCTCCAGGCCCCCAAACGCAGCCTTCAGCTCAGGCACCTCCAAAATGCCCCTCACATACTCCTCCACACCAGGCAACTCCTTGCGCATGGCCTCGTCAACAAAAAATTTGGTCGCCCACTGCAGCACGCCCACAACCATAATATCCGCCAGCGTCAACTTTCCCCCAACCAAAAACTTCCTCCCATCCTTCAACTCCGTCGCAATCCGCTTCGTCGCCCTCTCCACCGCCGCCAGGTGCGTCTCATACTGCTTCTCATCATACTCCCACATCTTCGCGACCGTCATCAGAAACGGCGCCGTAGCGTTGGGCGCCAGCTCCTGGTCCGCCAGACACGCCCACATCTCGATCAGCGCGCGCGTCTTGGCGTCTTCGCCGAGGAGCTGCTCCGCCTTGGGCCCGCTGTCGGCGATGTAGCGCGCGATGGCCTGGGCCTCGGTCAGGAACAGGGTGCCGTCGGAGGACTCGAAGGCTGGGACCTTGCCGAGGGGGAACTTGGCCAGGAATTCGGGGCTGTGGTTGGTCACGTTCATTTGGAAGTCGGGCACGATCTCGAGCTCGAGGCCATTCAGAGCCGCGATGGCTTGCGCCTGTGGGGTGAGAAGCGTGAGTAAATGTGTTGTTGTGGAAGTGAGGCTAGTGAGCAGTTTGGCGAGATGAACTTACCCGCTGGACCCGGTAGTTGTCGGGGTAAGTGTAGAACTTGCCGAAGGGAGCCATGACTACGAGTTTGCGACTGCAATCCAAGTTGGAGTGATGTTGGTGTGGAGGCGAGTTGCGAGTAGAGTTGTTGGTGTTGTAGATTGCGTGCCAGCAAGAGGAGATGACAACAGGTGTCATAGATATGGATTCAACACATTTCAGGAAACCACGGAGATTCAGTGGCAAACCCACGGGTTTAAATAAAAACCCACATCTCTTCCCGGAAAGTTGTCGGTCACTTCGCTCCTTCCCTCCCCGTCTCGCGGCAACACAGAATTTCCGCCAGGTGGAACTACCACACTAACTCTGTAGGCTTTGCTTATAAACCTCTTACATAGTACACGGATCATCAAGGACCCCAACGTTACACCTCCGTCTGCATAACCAAGACCCTTCCGTCGGGTGTTTGGAATCTTTACCTATGCTTTTGCCAACACTTGCCTGGCTCGATCTGGTTGTTGGTTCTGTGTACATTTCGAGCCCCACTTTTGTGAATGTTCTGCAACCCCCACTCCAGCCAAACCCTTGTCCACAACACCACGTCTCTCGGTCCCTTCCGAATACTACGCTACCTACATGAGACTCGGGAAGAAAGAGTCGCCGTCGGTGAAGACATTCGATCCGTCAGCTCAAGACATCCGTCAGCGAGAGACATGCATCGGGGAAAGCTGCAGGGCAAACAAATGCTCAAACTCGAAAAAAAGGGACAAAGAATTCCCTCTCTTTACGGATATGACAAATCATTGGCTCCGAGGGAAAACAAAACAGCCGAAACAAGCGCGCAAAAGAACTCCACAACAACCCACAACCGGCCCACCCTAAAGTAATGAAAACCGCTTAACTCCCACCGAAAAAAAAGGACCAGCACGAAAACCAGGGGAAAATTAATAAAATTATATGGGGCACCCCAAGTCTTTCTTTTGGACGAGCTGGGAATCGAACCCAGGACCTTTCGCATACAAGGGAACAGTATGCTAAGCGAACGCTCTACCAACTGAGCCACACGCCCTGTGATGATTTGGAGGTGTTGTTGAGGATCGTCGGGCCGGAGCTGGTGTTTTGAGAGACTGGCAAGGGGAAGGACACCGTCCCGACATGGGACGATCGATGTTGACTGTTATTATCCCCCACGGCTCAACCCGGCCATTGTAACCAACGGAACCATATATACACGCAACATGAAGCCCTTCCCCCTTGACAATTAGTTTGTTTCCCACTGCAATCACCACTCCTCCTCCTTCTTCGCCGCCGCGCACACAGGACACCCCCCCGCAATCCGATCCCTCAACAACCGTGCATGCGTGACCTTCGCTCCGATCAAATGTGTCGCCGACACACTTCGCGGATCACCGCCACCGAATCCCTTGAGCAACATCTCATTTGCCTGATCACCAAGCAGGTGCGCGAGGTGAAAGACGTGCCCACACGTGAACCCGACCAGCGTCTCGAGTTCCCACTCATCGAAGGGCTCGAGACATTCCGCGCAGAGGCCCGGTGCCCATTTCTTGGCAGGGTTGTGTGTACGTGGTGATATCAAGCCGGCTGGTACTACTGCATGACCGTTCCCGTTGGCATGGGCTGCATCCCCAGGTTGTGCCTGTGGCGGGTGTGCACCATCTGCTGCGGCAGGTTGGGCCGGAGCCACTTCGAACTTGATACCTTTCCGCTGGCCCATCCTTAACGTCCCCTGCGCCGCCGCTACTTCGCTGCGTAAAACCCGTGCCACACCTTCACAAATGCTGAACTGGATTTCGTGCTCCTTCATGATGTGCTTCAACCCCTCCCGCAGTCCCTCGATCTCCAGGCCTTCAGGGATCCGGCGGACGAGCGTGATTGGGTTGATGGCGGTCCCGACCTCCTCCAACAAGGCGCGAATGAAGCGGGGCTTATCCATGCTGTAGGTGAGCAGGTCCTCCCAGAGATCCGGGTCGTCTTGGTCCTTGGCGAAGGCGATGGCGTGGCTGACGTCTCCGAGTCGGTCGATGATGAGGTAGAGGGCTCGCTTGGTCTGGCCGGTTTTGGAATACAGGTAGACAAGTTCTGGGACGTAGTTATGGGTTTCACATTCTTGGGCGGCCTATTTAAAAAAAGATTGGTTAGTATGTGCGAGTGATAGATGCCCAGGTAGAAGACAGCAGCAAGGGCAATACCTTTTCGAATGCGTAAGCCGTGGAGGTTTTTAGAAAGTCCATCAAGAGAGATTGGTCGTGGACAGCAAAGAGATGGACAGCGAGATCGGCAAACTGGTCAACCAACGACTTGCTATCCGTGACTAGCCTAGCGCGAGACTCGTCCGAGTGTTCATGAATTCCTTCTCCTCGCCAAAGGCCGCGCAGATAGAAGAACGTGTACAGATCCAGCTTCTTCTCCTGCAACTGGCCGACGACAACCTCGGGTTTGACCAACCCATGCTGAGCTTCATCCACCAACAGTGTGATGGGTTCTTCGGTGGCCTCTTCCAACTCCAAACGGCTCATTTTCTTGGCCTGATGCTGTGGGACCCGCAGACCGATAAAGCTTGGAATATCATCCGCTACAGCATCGGCAAGGTGGCCCTCCTTGATCAAGCGCATGGCCGAGTCGGCATCTTGCAACTTGATATGGCACCGGAGAGCCTCTCTGGTTCTGCCGTTCGCTTCGTGAAGCTTGGCTAGACTCTCCATGACAATCCGCCAGTCCCGGCCAACCTCGCCGTCCTCAATACTGTCCTCGCGGACATCCCGGAATTTGAGCTGATCTTCTAAAGCGGTCGTAATGGTGCTGACATTGTACAGATCTGGGGACCATCGCTCGAGCAATCGACCAAAGGTCGGTTTGTTGGTCTGGAGGTAGCGCCCAAGCATCACTTCGTAAATCGTCCCTGGCATCGGTGGCCGTGTGCGTTCCGCGGGAATATGGTTCACAATTTCGTCGAACTTGTCGGCCCCGGCAAAGGTCCACACCCAGTTTTCCCAGCGATCAGGAGTGCTCAGGACCTTTCCGCATATTTCGCCCGCTTTCGTCCAATCTCCCGTCTCGATGACCTCTTGTATCCAAAGTTCACCGATGCGCCGCTTCTCCTTCTCCGCAGACGAGTACAGAGACCGAATTCCTTCCGCCACCGATGCTGAATCGTCATAAAAGTCATCGGTGCCCTGTGTCTGCGATGGCGGGTTCGGGGAACCATCGGGAGGACCCGACGTGATTTCCGGGTGCTCATCCACGAGTTGCCATGCGTCCTGGTATTGATTATGCTCCAGAAGCCATGTCAGGTGGTCAATCAAGTCTCGGCGTGTTGCAAGAATACAGTCGTATGGGCTGTGTATGAAAATCTTCACCCCCGGTTTGACGAGATGTGGGTGAACCGAGGTGCGGCCGACCCGAATTCCGGAAGCCGGCACGTTGTTTCCAGACCCGCCATCGCTCCCTCTGCTCACGACACTTACAGCAGAGCTGAATAACGACAAAGGATTCAACGCAGCGTTCAGAACGTCGTTACCAAGCCCCGCAAGTGTCTCCAGAGTGCCTCGAGACGAGACCGCCGCAGCCACGTTACGCGCCGGCAGGATGCCGAGGTGATAATCGTTGGATGATAACCTTTCGAAGCGGCTGATGGTCAGCCCGTCCTTGTCCACCTCAGCTTGCGACGACAAATCGATGAGCCGCAGTTCCGGGGGTTGGTTGTTCTGTTTGCGCTGAATTCCGCCGGATGGCCCGCTCCCCGTGGAGGTTCCGGATAGCGACCGGGTGTGGCTCCTCGTTTGCTGATTTTCTCCGTCCCGATCCCCTTCCTCGTCGTCCGGTAAGCAGTAAGCAAGAACCAACAGCAGATTGTGGGTATATAACGAAATGCCGGAAATAATACAGTCCATGCGAAGTCTAGTCGGTTAGCCCGTCAGCCCGTATTGTGTGGAAAGTAACAATCACTTCAACCTACATCTTTACAATTTCTGCTCGGCCAGCAGACTTCTCGCCGACGTTCCTGCCAGTCCCAATTTCCCCGGGGTGGACATGGATGATCCAGATTGTACCACCCCATCCAACAAGGAGTCGCTCGTATTTCTTAGTTGTTTTTAGATGTTGTTGCCTCAAACTTTCAGCTGCTGGTGAAACAACAACATCCCTGCGCGCAGAATCCGGGGATGTCGGGGTTGCCTCGTCGGATTCTACGGCCTGTTCATCAATCCACTCAACCCTGCCCTTCCATACGCTGGCCATAGTCTCCCATTCCTCCGTTTGGGGTCGGTCAATATGACCGATGCGCTTCCAAGCATCCTCAGCATCGGCGTTTTCAAGGTGCAGCTTGGTGCGCATGATTTTGATCCCATGTTCGTTGAGCCAAACCACATATTTCCCAGACAAGGACCACTTGATCGTGTTGATCGTGCCTTCACCCGAATGTAGCACAGTGTCCTTGCCGGTTCCGGCTCCGACCATGTTGCCTAGCCAGCCCGCAGCTTGAGCAGTGGCACCCGTCGTGGTAGCCGTACTTCGGCCGGTCGGGGCACCTGAAGTCAGGATGAGCTGCCCCGCAAGCCCACCAGACAGGTACATCCTATCGCTCTTAAACTCGGGGGAGAGGGCCACCGCTTGAACGGGGCGCGCAAAGTTTCGGAGCGACACATCCTTGGGCTCAATTAGAGACTGCACGCAGATATTGCCATCCATCGACGATGTCGCAACGTAGATGCTGTTGGAAGGTATATTTGGAACTGGTTGTGGGTCTCTTGGTCTTCTAGATGCTGCTGCCGGGGCGGTCTGCGCGTCTGCGACGCCCGTCCCTGGTCGCAGGGGGCTGTTGGGAGAGGATTGGGAAGCGAGTTCAGCCCCCACGGTTGGGAGCGGAGGGGGGAACGGAGAGATAGATATGGATGTGACGGATGCGGCGTGGGCGTGGTAGACACGGAGCGACTGGAAGGCTGGCAATTGAACGACATGCTGCAAGCCAGGGTTAGCCAGAGATCAGTTAGAACGAGAACTACAAAACTAACGATGTTGCCATTATGTGTTCCAACAACCTAAGAATAAAGTTAGTCGCTGTGGTACTAAGATTCGCCGGGTAAGGGGGGAACAAGACCATCTTGTCTCCAGCTACAAGGAACGAGCTTGTCGCATCTCCATTTCTATAAAGGGGCCCGAGATGCGGTGTGAGGCGCGCATACTTGAGCTTCGGTTCGTCGTCTTCTTCTTCTTCATCGTCATCTTCCTCGTCATTATCTCCCGCATCCTCGTCCTCCGCGTCATCGTCATCGCCATCATCTTCATCGTCGTCCTCCTCATCGTCCTCATCGTCGTCCTCGCGTTCTTCGTGTTCCTCGTCGGCGTTGTTGCTATTCTCGTCTCCGCTCGACTTCCCACCGGTGACTGCGGGGTGATCTTCAGCCGCGGCATCTCTAGGTGGGCTTGAAGCGCTTGCCTCTACCGCACCGCTGCTGCCTTCGGGTGCTGGCTTGGAGCTTGACTCCGCCGGAGTCACATCATGGTGGTCATCGTTGTCGCCGGGCGGAGGCGAGCTGTCGGTCATGTTGATGAAGGTGATGGAGGATTCTTCATGGCGTTTCAGCGTCACGGACGGGTGAAATGAAGAGGTCGTAAGTAGAGAGGCTGGGGAAGCTTGAGGTCGGTGTTGGTGTTGTGGCTCTCGGAATGGAGCTTGGGCGAACCTCACACCCGACCCGGCCAGCCAGTCATGCGACGGCCAAACGCTACGTCAGAGCTCAGGCGACCCCCGGGGCTGGGCTGGTCCCCAGTAACTGTCGGCTGCAGGCCCAACAGTCAAAGCTGCAGGGGCCGTTGAAGGTGCTGGCTGAGCTTCGGCCAATTGGAAACTGCCCCTCCATTGGTGGGGCAATAGCCTTGCTGTTCCGCACACGCGCCTTCCACCATCAAGGTGCATCGCGCTGAACAACCCCGAATTGTCGGGCGAGCCCCCAGGTGCCCTCGTGCACAAGCTGTTTGGCACTTTTTGTTTCAACATTAAGCCTCGTTGTTTCCCGAGCCTTTTTCGACCTCGAAGACTCACCCGAGCCCCAGCCCTTAAATTTTCACCGGAAATGGCCCCGGCCGACCATCATCCAAAACCAATCTTCCAGCTTCCAGTGTGACGACGCTGGACAAAACTACATCCTCGCGATGGCCACGGTCACATCCCTTGGGTCGCACTCCCCCATAGGACTACGACATGCGATTAGAGAAGGAATTCTTCCACCAAACCCTTCGCCCTCCTCATACACTTGGGAGATTGTCATCAGCAAAGAAGATGGCCGGGAATACGAAGACGAGCTCCTTACGACGGGGGACTGCGTGATCTGGTCTCGAGGCGGAATCTTCCGAAAATGCTATCGGTTCAATATCGAGAAGGAACCCGTTACACAGGCTCTTCTGGCCTACTTCCCTGCCTCTGCCGACCACCCGGGCGCAGCCGCGGACAAAACATCCCCCAGGACTACCGGTTTGTCCCGGGCCCTCGTCGTTTTCCTTCGGTCACAGGCGCATGTCTACTTTCTCTCTGGTACCAGCCATGTCGTCCATATGCCCTTCGAAGTCGAGTCAGCCTGCACTGGGCCCCGAGGTGTAATAATACAGCGGAAACTGCGTGTTGGTGGTACTCCAGTGTCGCTCAGGCTGCCAAAGGTTACCCCTGCCTCATTCGTCTCTTCCCAGCCGCTCGGCCCTCGCCATGCTCCCGACCGAACCTTTACCGAGTTCTCAACTGAGGCACTGGGTAACCTGAAGGTTCTACCGTTACGGCAGAGCTTTACGCTGGAAAATATGTGGCATCAGCCGATGGAGACTAACGAGAGCCATTGGCCCCGATTGGTGTGTTTGACAGATCCGCTGCTGGAGATTGGGCTCGTGGTCACGCATCCAGAGTTAAACACGGCGAGTAAAAGCCGGAAGGCTGTCCCGTCTCCAGTGTTCCTCAACCGTTCGGAGGAGATACTTCATATTCAGTCTATCCAAGTCCCACGTGCCCCCTTAGGAGAAGCGACGGAACTCATTCTTGCCGTCACGGGCAACCGGGAAACCAACATGTACACAATATGGAGGCTCACCTACCCGGAGCATGAGGATCCCTTTCTTGGCCCGTTGAAGAAGGCCCCCAACCTGTCCCGAAGGCGGAGTTCCATGGCACCTGGACTAGCGAGCGGTGCGGCCACTCCGGTCCACCAATCAACAAGAGAGAGCTTTGGCGCAGCACTCCCCATGAAGAAGACGAGGAAGAGCGTTAAGATCGAAGACAAGGAAAAGGCACTAGAGCACGCCCTAAACTCGCTTGTAGATGCGGAAAAGGGCAACGACGTAACGCGCCGACAGTCCCGTCGGGTCAGCTCCCTCCTAGCCCGTGCCGACTTGTCCGCCTCACAGGACCGAACCACGTTCACTGAGACACCCATACACGCTCCTCATGCGAGCAAGAGGCTCGATTCACAGGGCAGCCAGCGGGTCCGACTAAGCAGTGGCTATGGAGGTCCAAGCTTTGGCGGGACCTTTAACTACAACCGTATCAACCACCTTCCCGATCCCCCGGTGGATAACTTGCTCGAGGAGCTACGTGCTGGTGGTGACTTCGAAGGTTTCCACAACATGGGCCTGGACGACCATGGCTTTGACGGCCTGGTACGCGAAATGTTCCTCACCAAAATCCAGAGCGTGAGCATGGACAACGCAAACGTGCGATACTCCTTGTCCGGCCAACCCGCTCGGGCTCAGGCCAAGGTCTTCATCCTTGTTGGACCCCCCACCGCTACCGACGACCAAGGTCGGCCACTATTGCTGGTTGCCATCCAAGATCCGGTCGACCAGCGGCTGCAGCTCCTAACTCTCCATCTTCAGCACCTTGAATCTCAGCCTCCGAAAAAAGGCAGGACGAAACAGCCTGCAGTAATTGGTGATCTCATGATCGTGGCTTCTGAGCCCAGAAGAGTCCAGAGCGTGGTTGACTCGTGCAAAATTTCCGACGGGCACGATTCCATTATGATCCTTTCAGAAGACAGGACCGGTGGCCGAGAGATCAGCATACAGTCACCGTGGGGGAAGATCGCTACCGTCACGCTCCCACCTTTGCTAGTCAACGACATCAACAGCCTTGACTTTCCTGGGAGCCTTGTTGCCGAAATAGACCAAACACATCGTCCCCCAAACCTCAGTCTAGCCGGAACACAGGTTGACGCCATCTGCTACCCTAACTCTCGAGGTATTGTCAGCCTAAAAGACAAGCAAGGCAAATATCACCGCATCAAAGTCCAGCTCCAGCCCTCCTCTCCGCAGGTGCAGAAAGTGCTAGATGTGTGCCGAAGCATCTTCCACCCCTCGTATGCTGACAAAATTGTGGCTGGCTGGTTGCACGTTATGCAGTGGCTTCAAGGTCCGGAACATCAGACAGTTGGGGATGGCCTGGTTGACGTAGAGTGGTCTGCAGTTGTGATCCTCCTTGTGTCAAGTTTCCTGGCTCTAGGACATAATAGCGAAACGTCGCTGCAAACATCGGGAGAAGCGACAGAGCTACCAGGGTGGAACACATGGGAGAAGATGCAACTGCTCGAGACACCAAATTCTTCGGCTTGCCCACAGTGGATGCGCAACAAGGCCTGGGAGTGGATGCTGGATGGCCCGTCTAGCATAAACTCAGCCCCAGGGCCGTCAAGAGACTTCATTTCACTTCATGTAGCCCTGGCTAAGAAGTGGATGGCTTCCACGGGCGGCTTGGCAGCGTTTGGCTTTGAGGGGTATCTTCCGACAGCCTTGAACAGAATCGGAGAGCCCCGGAACATGGCGGCTTGGAGCATGTTACTCGCTCTTCATCTTCTGTGCGAGGAGCAGAAACTTAGTATTTTGACCCCTGAATTTTCATCGCCCGGACAGACCGATTTGAAGGCGCTCCTTCACCAGCTAGCCAAACTGGTCGGTTGGCATCGATACGCAGCCATCTACGCACTGGGTGAACAAGCTGAGCCAATATCTACAGCCGGACCAGGTAGGTTACGTTGATTAGACAAAGCTGATAACCAAGATGCTAACTGCCGATGTCCAGTCCCATTCTCTGTGGTCGACCTCAATGAGCCTGTATCTGACTACTGCGTCCTAAACTGGATTCAGGGGCATCTTGCAGCCAGTCGCGCTACCGAATATCCCACCCTGCCAGATCTCTACGCCCATGCCACCCACGATCCTTCTGGCGCAAAGCTACGAGGGAAGCTGTGGACAAGCCTTACGCCCCGTACATTGATGTTCGAGAGGCTGTTTGCACGTCTTACGCCAACCACCAACCGAATACAAGCCGTGGTTGCCATGCATGAGTGTGGTTTCACGCCCCAAATCCTCGAGACCCTTCCAGAAGGGGTCACCACAGCTCTGCAGGACGTCATTTCCATCTGCCAATCACGCCCTCCACTGTCTTGGACATATTCTTTGCTCACACTAGTCGGACGCACCGACGTCAGCGGAGTGCTACAGCCAACAAAGACATGCCGTGCACTAGGTTCCAGTATCGATGTAAGCAACGCAATTCACCTTACTGCTACTGTATGAATACAAACTAAGCCAACGTCAGTCTACCACTCACGAGGCCAAACGGAATTTCCGCATGCTCTGCCAAAATCCTGAGGGGCCCAACGAGCATCACGAAGATGCTGCCGCAGCTGAACGTCAAACTGTTGTGCGTTCGCTTTTCCGGGACGACAGAAGATTAAACGAAGCCCAAGCAATGCTGTCAACCAACAAACCCCGAGTTGTTCGTCTCGATTCCCAACCCGAATGGACCGAGGCAGAATACCTAGAAAAGCAGAAGGAGCTCGCCACAACGATTGCAACCAGCACCTTAGCCATCTCAGCTGGCCGCGGACTCCTCCATTTCTCCCTACGATATCCGCTGCTTACCCAAAAGTATCAAATCGCTGCGTTCAACCTGAACTGCGTCGTCAAACCCACCAACAATACAGTCAGCGTTGACAAAGGCATGTTTCCTGAAGATAAAATCAGCTGGGCTTTCTTCCACCAAGGCGTCTCCGGTGGGCTCGCGATTTCACCTCAAGCCAAAGGGATTGATACATCGTGGATCTTGTACAACAAGCCCGGTCAAGATCTCAGCAACCGGCACGCGGGGTTCCTACTCGCCCTTGGCTTAAATGGCCACCTCAAGTCGGTGGCCAGATGGGTTGCTTTCAAGTATCTCACTCCAAAACACACCATGACCACCATCGGTCTTCTCCTCGGCCTGGCAGCATCGTACATTGGCACAATGGACGCGCTTATGACGCGCCTCCTTTCCGTCCACATCACTCGAATGCTGCCCCGCGGAGCAGCCGATCTGAACCTATCCACGACGACCCAAACCACTGGTGTCATGGGTATCGGCCTCGTTTACTGCAACAGCCAGCATCGGCGTATGAGCGAGATCATGCTTTCGGAAATTGAGCACGTTGGCGGCGGGGACGACGACGAAGAGGAGGAGGTAACCATCAGGGACGAAAGCTACCGTCTAGCGGCTGGATTTGCCCTGGGCTTCATCAACCTGGGGAAAGGCGGGGACTTGAAGGGACTGCGGGATATGCATCTCACAGAGAAGCTCCTGACCATGGCGACGGCAACGAAAAGAATGGAGCTGGTGCATATCCTGGATTGGTCCGCCGCCGGTGCCGTGATGGCCATCGCACTGATCTACATGAAGTCGGAGGACCATATTGTGGCACGTAAAATTGACGTGCCCGAGACGTTGCTACAATTCGACTATGTCCGCCCAGACATCTTACTGTTGCGTACCGTCGCGAAGAACCTCGTCCTTTGGAGCAAGGTTGACCCAACGTTTGACTGGATCGAAAGGGGTCTTCCTTCCACATACAAACCCCAGCACCGACTAACGGGCGTAACCACACTCCATAGTCGGGATCTTCCGTTCTTTTCTATTCTCGCCGGCCTTTGCTTTGCATTAGGCCTCCGATTTGCCGGGTCTGCCAACGTCCGGGTCCGAGATTTGCTCGTGCACTATCTCGACGAGTTCATGCGGATTGGACAAATTCCTGTTGCTAACTACGACAATGAGCTGGCCAGGAACAATGCGTGCATGTGCGTGGATGTCCTCGCCTTGTCCTGTGCCACTGTCATGGCTGGAACGGGTGATATCACTGTCCTACGCCGGCTCCGCGCCCTCCATGGACGAGACGACACCACCACTTCCTACGGAAGCCACCTCGCGGCCCATCTCGCCATCGGTGCACTCTTCCTAGGCTCGGGAACGGCCACCTTCGGCACCAGCAACCTGGCCATCGCATCCCTCCTCGTCGCCTTCTACCCACTGTTCCCAGCGACGGTCCAGGACAACCGCTCCCATCTCCAAGCCTTCCGCCACTTCTGGGTTCTCGCCACAGAACCCCGCTGTCTTGTCACCAAGGACCTAGTCACGGACCAACCACTCAATCTCCCGATATTCATTCATCTCCAACCCGGCTCTCCATCTGCCGTCGCTACTGTCTCCCAAACCCTTGGGAACGACCCGAACGACTTGGACTCCATCACACTCCGTCGTCAGACTCCGTGTCTACTACCTCCACTAGACGATATTGCACGCATCGAAACGGACGCCAAAGCGCTAGGATACTGGGACTTGACCATCGCGTTTGCCGAGAACCCGAGTCTCAGAGCAGATTTCACACGGAACCAGACCGTGTACCTCCGTCGGCGGCCTGCCGATCTGGGGACGTATCCTACCACCTTACGCTCACTAGTCAGCGGAGGGGTGGCTGGCCCCGCCCCAGACAGCGCTATGATGATCTTCAACACCAGCAGTGTCGGCGTCGGCGGCATGGGGTCCGTTCAACCCAAAACCCGCAGCACAACACCCCCATTAGATTGGATCTTCAACCTCGACGCCTTCAAAGACCTCTCTCTTGCCGAGCGGGGCGTCGTGCTCGATTTATTCGGTTCCGCCGGCGGTGTGGGCGAAGGAGAAGGTGCCAGCACGTTAGTGGACGCACGGCTCGGCCTGAAAGCCAGCATCGACGGCATCGGTGGGTGGTCCAGGGATCGTTTGCTCGGTCTAAGCTTGCTATTTGAATGGGCTGAGAGAAGAGGTGCCTATGCGGAGGGAACGAAGGGGAAACTAGACGCACACGATGCAACAACCCCAGCCGCTACTCCCGCTACCACTACGAAGGGGGGGAGGAAGGAGAAGGGCAAGGGGAAGAAAACTGTTTCGGGCAGGGGAGGGAAAAAGAAAGTGTTGGTGGGGGTTGATACTGCTGCTTTGTCGGCGACGGTAAATGATGAGATTGAGGCTGTGGAGGGTACGTGGTGGTTGGGGGATAGTGTTATTGAGGAGTTGAAGGGGAGGACTTGGCTTGCTGGCAGAGAGTAATATGCTCGCTCGCTGTTAGGTTTGGGTGGGAGGGTTGATGGGTTGGCTGTGGGTGTTTATGCGTCGGTTGGGTTAACCCGTGGTCAGATGTTTTAGGGCAGTGTTAGATCTGCTGTTTAGTACATACCCCAGGAATAACGATGCGGCCTCTCCAGTGTGGACATGGTTTTGTTGTGTTGTGCTAGGGCGTGAAATATGGATCATTCCAAGCCCACTGTAATGTGAAGACGGGTAATGTTTGCGGAAGGCCGTTGTTTAAAGGTGTGAGAAAAATAATGGAAATATCAAGTGAAAATGGAATTTAGATGTTTTATAATTATTGTTAGTTTCATTTTGTTTTTGGCAAAACCGTCCTGTATTAAGAGTTTAACTTGGATTAACTAAATATACATAAAACCGAAAGGCATAAAAAAGAAAAACATGTACACGGTTTAATATAGAGATGTAATACCCCTTGCCATATCCTCGTCGTAAGTAGGAAACTAACACTAGAGGTTTACAGATGGCAATCCCATCGAAGTTAAAAATATGAAAACCATCTTACACCATCAGCTAAGGCTACCAACACAGGCTAAAGTCAGAAGGCTGTTTATGAGAACAACAACAATGCTATTGCTGGAGCAGGACCAGTCACCGTTTCCATAAACGTAAGAATTAACCATTCCCATTTTGATGCGCCATCGAGGTATAATATGTACATCGCTGATCCCGTTGTCCGCTGACCCCCGGCACAAACCAAATATTGGTCGCCGCCATTGCACGATGTCCGCCCTTCCTACCTCCCCAACGAGCCAGCCCACCCCACCTCCCAACTTTGCCGTGAACATCAAAAACATTTCTTTCTTTCCACCCTCGTTTCCGCGCTTCGGCCAACCAAACCCCCCAACACCTGTCGACATGTTCAATTCAGGAAGATAGGTCCCGACCCCGGGAATGGTGGCTGCGGAGCCTTGTCACCTTGCCCATCCAGGTTCGGCTTCTCCTCACTCCTCTCAGGTTTTGGAATGTCACGTTTCCCCTTGGGCCTCGCGTTCGCCTTCCTGTGCCTACCTCGCCTAGTATGATGCGACTCCTACTTCGCAACGGCTGCGCTCAGCACTTGAGTCCTGAAGAACCCACCCTTGGTCTTCTCGATAACCTGCTGGTAAACAGAGCTTGGCGGGTGGTTCATGACGACTGTGCCTTCCTTATAGTCAATCTTGGCGTCAAGACGCGTGTCGCGGATGAGGTTAACAATCCACTTCTCCGCGGCGTCGGCATTGAGACCCAGGCGAGCACTCAAGTCCTGCAGCGAAATGCGGGCGTGGATCTTGCAATAGCTCTCGAAGATGAGATGCCTGGCGGAGTCGACAAAGTCGTCGGCGTGGGCGAGCAGGAAGAAGTCGCGGCGGAGGACCTCCTCGGCGAGGACGAGCTGGCGCTGGGCCTCCTCGAAGTCGAAATCGATGCTCAGAGCATGGACGAAGCGAGTGATGGGATCCTGGTATTCGTACGCCTCCTGCTTAACGATACGAACTACATCCTTCATTTGCTTCTGGTGGATGCCGGGGTTCTTGGCGCGGCCGCGGTTGGTGATAACGGCAACGGCCAGGTACCGCAATACCCACGCGCAGTTGGCCTGGATGGTGTTGATGTACCCCGCGTTGAAGAAGAGCTCGAGGATAGGCTCGCGGGCCTTCTCGAAGTTGAAAAGCGGGAACAGGGCCCAGTGAGCGAGGGCGGTACGATGCTGCAGCTGAGCCAACGGGTTTTGTGACAGCTTGGAGTCAATGGTCTCGCGGACCTTTTGAATCTCCTCCATGGCCGACTCCCAGTTCATGGTCAGGATTTCGCAGGCCAGCCGGCCCCATGTCGCGTATGCCACCTTGTCGTTATCTGTCGACAGAACGCGGAACCGGTAGAGGGTCTCAGAAGCATCAGCATAGTTACCACAGCTGTACTGGAGGTTGCCGAGGTCGTATAGCGCATTAACCATATCTATCGTAACCTGATCCCCCAAGCTGTTAGCATGTACGCTTGATAGCAAAACTAATTAATAGGCAAACGAGCAGAACAAACTGCCATACCTCGTGTTCCCTCTTGAGAAATTCCAAGTTTGCCACCTTGTCGCTCCTGAGGTTGTTCACAACGTCGTCGCGCTCGAGGAGCTCGATGATCTTGCTGGTGTCCTGCTCGTACTTTTGTAACTGCCCAAAGACCTTTTGCTTCTTGTCGGCAAACTCTGCCGGGGGCTCCTCGAGGCCCTCAAGTTCGCAGTAGAGGTTGGCGACGTAATCGGTCATGTCGGTCTTTTTCAGCAGCGAGTACTTGGCTTGTGTGATTTCGCGCGCCTTCGCCTCGTCCTTAATCTCCCCGCTCTCCTCATCGACAAGCTGGCCCGCATTGAATTCGAGCAGCGGGAAAATCATATGGCGGTCGAGGTTCTGGGCGAGCTTAAGCATGAGGTCGTAGTCGGCTACGGAGCTGTCGCCGTTGGCGGCGGGTGCGGAAGCCATAATTGCGGTTGTTCGTCGTTTATGGAGGATAAATCGTGGTGGTTATGATCGTTGGGAGCGGGATGTGTTGAGGACGCAAACTTCAAAAGTTGATGTTCGCGGTTCTTCACAACGGGGGTAAAGGCTGTCTGTCGGGTTCGGCGGAGGGCGCGGCAGGAGGGGACGAGGAAATCCACGAAGTAGTGGTACACCCGCCAATTTTCCGAAGGGAGGTTGTGTTTTGGCCTTTGGTGGGGTCAAAATTTAGACCATACTTCGGCGACAGGCGGATGGTGGGAGGTGTGTGCACGCACGAAGGTCGCTCTTGACCCCACCGCAGCACCAGCCCAGATTTCGGCCCTTGCGTTGTTCGTGCGTCGCTTTGTAGTGGGGCCGGCCAATCATTCTGCCGTCGCCCGATGATTTTCCTTCCTCGAGCGTCCCGATTGGGAAAGCGGCAAGCCAAAAGTGGGAGGCGTCCATCGCAAGAATCCTCTAAACTAACCGTCAACACCAAGAACATGTCCCGCCCAATGTCGACAGCCCTTTTCCGGGCGCTGGCCGCCGCCCCAGCTCGACAGTCCCTACTGAGAACCGCCTTACCGGCCCCAATCCGATTCCGCAACTATTCCACCGAGCCCACATCAACAACTACAACGACGATACCCCCCTCAGAAGCAACCTCCGCCACCACTGACGAAACGGCTCCGGCTCCGACTCCGACTCCGAATTCCCCTGGACCGACAGGCCCGACAAAGAACTACCCCTTTCGCGTAACCCGAACGAACTCCCAGGCGCTAGCCGTGTACCAACGGGCCCAAGCCGGCGGAAACAAGAAGTTGACATTGATCAAGAAGATCGAGGGTGACCGCCGCGCGTTAGTGGCTGCGCTGGCTGAAGGACTTGGGGTGGACCCCGGGGATTTTATTATGAATAATGTGACGGGGCATGTTGTACTTAAGGTGAGCTTTGGTTTTTGTTGTGGAAGCTGTTTTAAAAAAAGCTGGAAGATACGAGTTGGTTTGCTAACATAGATCTGCTTGATCGTAGGGCCACCGGAGGGAAGATGTCATTGCGTGGTTGACGAAAGAGGGATTTTAAGAAGGCTCGGGCTCAACCTCTTTGGCAGCTGAGGGTACGAAAACGGGGAAGCAGGAGACAACGACACAGGGCAGAGGTCCACATCTATATAACACAGTGAATGTGTTTCAACGGGGAAAGAATCTAGCATTTGGGACTGTAGGGGTTTATGTTGCTGGCGGGGTGTTGATGTACGATTGGGAAGGGAGAGCACAACTCAAAAGGATACAGGGCCTTGTCTATATGACTGGGGAGTCTAGCAAGCCTGATGTAAGGCGTGTAAAATAAGAGCATTTTGGTGTTTTCTTGCAAGTACAACAACCCATAAATTTACGACGGCGACATCAACGTCTCCAAGGCACGGATGATAAGTGATTTCAAGAGACACATAGCCTATAGAGTAAAGCACCGGTTTCATCAGGTTATAGAACCCACCAACTTACAGTTGTCGCGGTCATAATCGGGGAAGGGAATAGGTTATCAGATCCTTCCGTTCAATACCACATTATGGCCAACATCACTCACGCAAGCACAGGGCAAGATGGAGGAAAGAAACGAGTAATTACGCTCCCATTCTATGTCATCCAACTCGTTCACCATTTTCCAACAAGAGCTATTCCGCACCATGTCACACTCCGCCCACAAGAAGACTGGTTGCGACAGACCGGTTCGTACACCTCCAACCCTAGACTTTCTTGCTGCACACCTTGAACGTGCGAGTATGTCTCTGCCGCCCACCTCTTTAATCCACCGATATCCATCCAGTCGACCGCTGCATATACACCCATCCAAGGGACACGCTTCCCCCAACCCCAGAAGTCATTCCATATCCACCGTCCGCCTTATTTGCAGTAATAGTAGGTTAAAAGAATACACAGAGAGGGAAAGAATGACAGAAAGACAACGGGAAAGCAGTTTAGAGAAACGGGAAAAAAGACAAAAAAACCAAGATGCTGTGCTACTCCATCCCCAGACACAGCCGCGGTCTGTTTAGATAAATAAAGATCCACGCCACCCAACTCGGCGTCCAGCTTTTCCCACCACGAGATTCACGTCTCTCATCTCCTCCGCAGCCCCTTCTCGACTACGTTTACAAACCCCACCAAGTTCGACAACACACCTTCTTTGCCCCATTCCTGCGCCTGCAGTTGTAGTACCGGCAAGACCGCGTCCTTTGCCGGCAGTACCTCCGGTGGGATACTGTGTTCTCCCGCTGGATCTACCGGGTCAAGCGCCTTCTCGGTTAGCTTTCGGAGCATACTCGCGGCTAGGCTCACGATGTACACCAAATCGGGATCGCGCTTCGGCTGACCACGCGGACCGCCTGTGGGGCGCGGGTTTTGGTTCTCGAATTGTACGCTGAGTTGCCGGACGAGCCCAAAAAGATTTTGGGCAAAGCCATGACCGGACCCGAGCCAGGCGCGGGTGACACCGGTCTCATAGCCCGGCGCAAGCCCCGCCATAATGTCGGCGGCGAGGAGACCTTGCATGAGCACGGGCTTACGGGCTTCGCTAACAATGACCGGCGGTTGGTTCGGGTGACGTGGTGGTGGCTGATCACGCTGGAGATCAGGTATCGGGGAAATGGCGAGGCCGAATGTGCGGGTGAGAAGCTCGCAGAGAGGCGAGGTAGTAACGGAGGCTTCGGCGGCGAAGATGTTGCGGTAATGGGTCCGGTTAGGTTCGTCCCTAGCGAGGAGCTTGGCGAGGGAGTCGACGGCGTGGGGGAGGTAAGGGTGGAGGTTTGGTTCGTAAGACGGGAAATATAGTCTGCCATCGGACACCGTGGGTCCTGGCGAGGGCGCAAAGGCGAGCAGGAACTGCAGTAGGCAGAATGCTTGCTCCCGACCGGGTATTTCCATTGCGCTCGTCGTGTTCGAAAGCAGCGTCACTAGGTCCTTCATCAAGTCCAAAGTGTTGGCGTTGGTGCGGAGCAGCATCTCGCGTGTGCCCAGATATCTAATCAAGACGCAAATGAACTTGATAACTGTGTCATCCGCTAGGGCCGCGTGGTTCTCCTCTCGCCACGACAGGTTGCGAAGGATCGTCGTGATACAGATCAGTCGCTCCACCGCACGGTCGAGCTCATACGGCTGTGTCCCGAAGATAGTGACAGTATTCAACGCCCACTGCTCGGCTCGACAGGCGCGTACAATCTCCTCGTATGCCGGGATGGTGATCTCGTTGGATGCTTCCTCCGAGTTCTCTACGAGGAGATCCAGTTGTTCTTCCGCGCACTCCACCAATACTTCCACCAGGTCGTCGCAGTGACGGAGGTCGATCTGGGGAATGACAATCGGCTGCGGACCGACAAAATGGAAATCGCTCCACGTTATCGACGCGAGGGTGTCGAGTGCCAAACGTACCTCACCATGGAGACCACTTTGGATGCTCTTCGTGAGAGCATGTATGTCCACATTGCCAAAATCGATAGGCAGCGGAACATCAATCCTTGATCTCTCCAAGTCTTCGCCAATCTTCTTTAGTGCATCGACTTCAAACCCCCCCAATGTCGTGATTTCGCGAGAGCAAGGCATGTACTCCTCCGGATTTGACGAGAACGGGGCGGGGAACTTCATGGGGCGCGTCGCGTCGCCGGATGCACCTTGACTCTCGGGATGAGCGGAACCCGGTAGTGAAGCGGGGCCAGCTTTGGCTTGGGCTGGCGACGGCAAGGGAAACTCGTCGACTGTTGGCGTAGGCTGCACGCTCCGAGACATGCTATTGCGAGCATGGCCTTGATTGTTCAGAATTTGCTGCTGGGCCGGGCTTGGCTGGCCGCCGGGGAAGCCGTTGACAGCTTGCTGCTGCGGTACCGGCGGCTTAACTGGTGACTGCATTTGGGGCGGGTGCTGTTGTCCTTGCTGTCCGGGTTGCATCATATGAGGAGGTATTTGACCAGGTGGCATCCCCTTTGTTGGTGTTCCTTGTTGCATCCCCTGGGCGTTGGCCATACCTCCTTGCGGCTGCATGCGCATTTTTTGTTGAGCAGCCCAGAGCTCTTCGTATTTGATCAAGTTACGTTCGTACACACCCTTCAGCTGTTGCGCCACTGACGGAATCTGCTGGCCTGCAAACCCCATGATTTGCGTGACCTGCAACCAGCCATTGGACTGTGTGGTATTCCGGTACCCGCCGAATTTTGTGTACACGAGCTGGAACAGGTTGTACAGTGGGATGGGACGGTTGTCAATGACAGGGTGCAAATCAAGCGGAAGGCCCTTCGAGCTCATGAACGTCGCCAAATGCTTCATGAACTGTTCCGGGGGAGGCAGTCGCATCATAGGCTGCGGCGGACCTCCTTGCTGTGGGCGCATCCCGCCCTGTGGCATCTGGCCGTTGGGCATGCCTTGTCTCGCAGCCATCATGTTCCTAGCCTGTGCCTGCGCTTGCGCTTGCGCCTGAGCTTGTGCCTGGGCCTGAACCTGCGCTTGGCTGGGGTGTTGCTGTTGTTGCTGCCCCTGCTGCCCTTGCTGTTGCTGTTGCTGTTGCTGATGTTGTTGCTGCTGCTGTGCTTGTTGCTGAGCCTGCATCATGTTCTGGCCACCCATCTGCTGCATCTGCATGCTGGTCCGCTGAGCTTGTTGCTGTAGTTGCATCTGGTACAGGAGCTTTTGTTGCTCGAGGGCATTCCGCGGCTGGCCCATCTGCTGTTGATACATCATGTTTGGCATCTGGCCAGGCAACTGACCCCCCATTTGTCCTTGCATACCTCCCGGCAGTTGGTTCGCCATCATTTGGCCCGGCATCTGCCCCGGAGACTGCCCCATTTGCTGCATCTGTTGATGCATGTTCTGGGGTAGCTGTCCCATCTGCATTTGTCCCATTTGCTGAGACATCATCTGGCCGCCCATTGGATTTGGCGAAGGTGAAGGCCTCGCAGGGGATTGGGCGGCGCTGAATTGGGGATTGAAGTTGGGTGGGAAGCTATTCTGCTGCATAAAGGACTGTGGCGTGCCGCTATGGTCAGAGGGAATGGGAGACGCCTGGGGAAATTGTTGCGCGGCAGGCGAGAAAGGGTGTGGGGAGGTCGACGCGACTCTTTGGGGGACGCTCCCTGGGCGCATTTGGTTCGCCATGATGGGAGACGGCGTCGCATTCGCGGAGCCATTAGCCTGGAGGTGTGGGTATGGCGATGGCTGGCCGGACGGCTGTTGCGCCATGCCCGGCTGCGGAAAGTTTGGAAAGCTAGACTGCTGCGGCGTCTCGGCGCGTGAGGTGGGGATCATTCCAGGGGCCGGCCGTGGTGACTGGCCGATGGTATCGTCTCTCGGGCGCGGGCGCTTTGATGGGACGACCGAGTTGGTTTGATACATGGGGTTTGGGAACGAGGGCGATGCATTGCGCATGGGGCCGTTGGGCATGACGATCTGTTGTGGGTTCGCAAACTGCGCATTGAACTGGGTGGGATTGCCCATGAACGCGGACGGATCCATCATGGAGGCGGCAACTGCGGATGGGTCGTTGATATGGGGGAAGCCGTTGCCATTGTGGTTGGGGACAGCGGCCTCGTTGATCCAGGAGCTCATGTCGTCGGTCGTAGGGTGAGGGCGGCAGCGTCAATGGTCACGCCCATCAGGCGAAGCACGGTCGTCCTTGCAGCAGCGCGATACGTTAGCGACACCAAGAGACAAGTAGAACAATCGTCATGCACTGGGATAGCAATAATCGATAAAATGCAAATGGGTAGAGGCGCGGCGGCGGCTTGTCGCGATGGAGCAGGCGCGTCGCGGGTGTGGGTGTGTGTCGGGGAAGCGCTCTGTGTGTGCAGTGGTTTAACGGGGTAAGGGCGGATTTCTTGCTTTGGGGGCGCTGGCGCGCTGGGGGGGCTGCTGCTCTGCGGTCGGGGATCCACCAGGGTCCAGGTGCGCGCGCAGGAGAAGCAGTGAGAGCGAAAAAAAACAGGCGGGTCCGACGCAGCCTGTGCGCAGCAGCACGGGCACTCGGGCCACGGGGGCCAAAATGGCCTGGGAAGGTGGGGGGACTTGGATGGGAAGGAAAAACCAGACGCATCGGAGGCGAAACGAGACATCTGTATCGCAACGCTCGCCCGGTTCTGACGCTGACTACGGCCGACTCGGCCTAGAAATCGCAAATGATACAGAGCCTGGGCGGACCGGGCACAACGGTCCAGCACTAGCCGGCCGCAGCACCTCCGGAAACGACGGAGTGGAGGCGATCGGGGAAGGGACCCTTCGCTGGTCAAGAGTACGGCTCGTACGGATACATACTCGTGGAATTGATAGGCGTCAAGAGACCAAAAACCGACGGTTAAGCTAAGGCCGGGGCGACGGGGGTGCAAGGAGATCTCGCAGGCAGGTTCCCGGCGTCGCGACTCGAGCAGAACGGTAGCCAACGACCAAGCACGCGTAATTCCCGATGGCATCCAAGGCCGAGACGACGAGCCCCGAGAGAAGCCGGGAAATCACGAAGCCGAATCTATCGGGAAGCCGAAACGGCAAGCCGGGGGCAGATAGGGGGCGGAAAAGACTGGAGGAACAGCGGGTAGGTCTTACCTCTTCTTGCCTTGCTGTTCCCGATTGCGTCGGGTCGGTCGGGGGCGCGTGTGTTGCTTGCTTGCTGGTGGGATTCCACTGGGGCGTTGTGCTGCTGCAAAGGAGCGAGCGTCCAGTTCCGGTCGTGGTCCTTTCAGCCGGACCAAACCATTTGACCAAAAGGAGATTAGTGTGGCGGGGCGGCAAACAGAGATCCGGCGAATGAGGCTGTGGGACCACGGGCTCTTGGGCCATCCTCCTTTGATCGCTGACTCTTGCAGAGAAAGCTCAGCTTGACGTCCTCAGCTGCCCAAGATTGATCCAAGCGTGTTTGCTCGCGCCGTCGAAGCTCAAGCTTTTCGCCCTTGCATCCCACGGCCGTGTTCGAGGGAGTGTTAGAATATCTTTCTCCCTCGACCTTACGGCCCGTGGCGGAGATCAATGACACCCTGGAGGCGTGCATTTGAAACGGCCCGAGTCGTGGATCTCGTCGTTGTTCGCAGCCACCCATCCGCCCAGAACGCTGGGCTCAATGATGGAAGCTGAGGTTAGGTCCCGGCCAGGGAATTGATAGTGGTCGAAGAGATGGTGCGTCTCGAGCCGCAATAGGGCATTCCGGCTTGAGTGTCTTTTCAACGATTCCCCCGTCGAACACGAAGCCTGAACATCACGTCACCCAATGATGGGAGTCGGTGATACCGGGTTGCAGGCCCTGATCCCGTGTTGTTGGAGGCCTTGCCCCGAGCCCAGCCAGGCTGTTGCCAGTCGCATCAAAAATGGCACGACCGGCAATTGCTCGAACGGCCACCCCATGGCGCTGAGAGAATTAGAAACGCGACTCAACAACTGTGAGAAGCCAAGTCCCATCATGGCGATCTATCCTGCTGGTCTCGCTGTTTATCCCATGCTTGTCCCACATGAGCTTGCCGAGCCTGGTGGAGAAGCTGGTCACACCCACAAGCATGAGCCATGAGCCAGCGTGGGCTGGGCGCCACCAATGCCCAAACTGCCTTGCCCGCGACAGGGCGCCCGGAGAGTCATCGTAGGATTGAATTGTTTTTGGTCCAAATGATGGGAGTTTTCGCTCTCTTCGGGTCCGGGTTTTGGGTTTGCTGCAGAATCTTTTCCTACTGCGTAGTCGTTGTTGCCAATTCAGGGTGAGCCCGGCTTTTGGGGCGACTGAGGGCCGCCGGATGCCGATCTGGGCGAACGGTGACTTGGTGGATAATAGCAGCCATACCTGAAATCAGTCGACAGAAGCCACCACGAGCGATTAAACAATAATTATGGTCGTAAATAAAAAGAACAGCGACAAACAGATGTCAGGAAACAAAAACGGATGGGAACGAGGGGGGGAGGCGGGCGGTTGGACCCTTTAAAATGTCGCTCCGAGCCCAGGACCAAAGTCACTTTTACACCAGGGCACTAAAATTCTCCGACCAGCAGCCCATTTGCCAGGCATTCGCCCGCGGCGAAACACATTGCCAGTTCCTTTTCCTTTCCTTGTGCATCCTGAGCCGTTTGACAATTGCCGGCGACGCAATACTTGAGAATACAAGGCACCGCAAAGTCACACATCGGATTCAAGTAGGGCTTGATGGGAAAAACCAACAGTTGACAGCTCGGCACAAAGTTGCTCGGCTCCGTCGAGCTGGCCCTTGCCTCTCAGCCCACCCCAATCATTCCCTCCACACCTGAGATCATGCCTGTGGTAGTGGTGCATCCGGACCACGTCAATAATATTAAAAAGCAGCGGGTTAAGCTTCCGCGTGTCACAGAAGGAGCGCCTCTTGTCTTCCTCGAAGCCGGCCTCGATTTTCGATGCACCTGCGATCGACATATTTTCGAACCTGAATCAAGGATTCGGGGCTTGCAAGGTCTTTGTTGTGCCCAAGCATCCATCCCCTCTTTCTTCATGTGGTGTTTCCCCGCTCCGCTTGACGAGGAATAGTGGCATCGGTTGATCCTAGCCGGCATCTTCCTTTTCTTTTCTGCGCAATTAAGTGCAGCCGGGAAAACGAATCACGTCGTATTACATGCTTGTCTGCTTTGAAAAGAAAATTAAAAAAAACCTCGCTCTTACCTCCACCCTCCATGCTTCAAGAGGGTTCCAAGGTCTGCGCTGTGGCCGAGTCTCATCTTGACGACCTTACCTGGCTAGCACCGTAAGGCCCGACTGGAGGGAACAAGAGATGAAGATTTGCTCCCGCTCTAATTTTATAATTTTCAGGGTCAATTCTTCATGTGAGGAACTCGACGTACAATTTGCCTACGAGCGATGATGAAGCCTCCACTTCTGTCGAGGTCGTTTGTGAACAGTCGGTTTCGGCCGAGCCAGCTTAAATAGACAGTCCAGCGAGAGGTTCATGGCGAATGAGGACGACATTGGGTCTTCGCACCAAAACTTTCTTTCCTGGATTGAGTGAGCACTTGCGGAACGAGGGCGAGACTTATCACGGGTTCCCCGCGCTGCTTCTTCGCTCAGGGAGGCGGAAGACGCAGTTTAACTAACCCATGTTGAATTTCCCAAAATGGGTTGTCCTGTCGCCAACACCCCGGCCGCACATCCACACCGTGTTTATTCTTGGCAATTTCAACGTTTGGCGTCACCACCAGCCCTTTAACTTTCGGAGAGGTTACCGAGTGTTACCAGTGACTTGTAGTCCGAAATTCGTCATGCCGAAAAGAAAATCGTCCACGACAGAAAACCTCGTGCCCGAGACAGGGCAACGACGTTCTCGTCGGTTGCAAACTTCGGCTGAAAACTCGCGAACGGGACTGCAACAGGAAGTTGAGGTTGACTCAGCGGAGGCTTCGGTGAAGAAGACCGGAGCCAAGAGGGTCACGAAAAAGGTAATTTACACGTAGAATACACTCTAGAGCATCCTCCCTCTCTCCTGTGCTTGAGATACTTCAACCCACGTACCAAGTTGCTGACAAACACAACAGGAAAACAAAAACACTGAGCCACCGTCTAAGAAACCTCGGGGTGCACCGTTAAAAGAGGGCTCTCCTACGAGTGATGGTCCACAAGAGCAGGCTAAGGGTAGTGATGGGAATGCTCCCACTGAAGGGGGGAGGAACTACTGGCTTCTCAAAGCGGAACCCGAGTCGCGGTTCGAAAATGGCGTCGACGTCAAGTTCTCCATCGACGATTTAGCGGCTAGGACGGAGCCTGAGCCATGGGACGGTAAGCCTTCTCTGTACTCAGGCGTTCGTTGTGAACGTACCTAGCAGATTCTAACTAAGAATACATTAGGTATTCGCGCCTATGCCGCCCGCAACAACCTACGGGCTATGAAGAAGGGCGAGCTTGCCTTCTTCTACCACTCTAACTGCAAAGAGCCAGGCATCGTGGGCACGATGGAAATTGTGAAGGAGCACTCTCCAGACTGTAAGTTGATAGGACGTACAATGCAGTACGCAGAGAACCCATTGTGATTAACATTACAACTTAAAGTATCCGCCCACGACCCTAAAGCACCGTATTACGACCCCAAATCTAAACCCGACGACCCGAAATGGAGTGTGGTACATGTCGTATTCCGCAGCAAATTTGCCAGCCCCATTGGGCTGAAGGAGCTCCGCGAGATGGGTGGTGGACCGGGGAAGCCGTTGGAGAACATGCAAATGCTCAAGCAGTCTAGACTGAGTGTGAGCCGAGTGAGTGAAAAGGAGTGGGAGTATTTAATCGGTATTGCGGAGGGGAAGACGGCATAGATCGGTGTAATAATGTATCCAAGAAGCAATTGTAGGCTTCCCAGGAAGGTCTTGTATTTGCGTAGTCTAATTAACATAATCTGGCTTGTGATATCCAGACATTAATTAAGCGATGGATTGCAACGATGCCTTAGTATGGCTTAACACTGTTTGAATGCCTGGGTCCAGCCCTTCCGTCGCCAAAACCTCGTCAATCCAAGCCGTCGTCTTGTTGGCAAGCGCCCGCTTATCTTCCGTCTTGTCCATTGCGCCCTTCAGCCGGGTGAGCGACTCTCGGAGAGCTTTCGGAAACGCAGCGGTCAACACGTCCACTCCAACGAGCGGTTGCCGAACCTGGCAACTGCATGTGCTCGCGTGGTTAGGAAACTGTTGCTCCATTGCGCTGAGAACATGCTGCACAATCCTACCCCGTGGCGAAACTTTGCCAAAACTCGCAAACATGTCGAAGAACGTTTCAGCCGCTGCTGGGCCAAAAAACGGTTGCTTCTTCGCGATATCGAAGATGGCCATCGGTATCGCGCCGCTCAATGCTGGACTCTGCTCAAGTTTCTTCGCCGCTTCTGCATCAAATGCAGGCTTCTTGAGCCCTTTATCGCCCGATCCGCCGGCATCTGGGTCCGGTAGCATTAGACCGTCCTCGTCCCCGCTCTCGTCATCCTCATCGTCATCATCAAAACGAATCTCATCCCCCTCCTGCACCGCCTCGGTGGCCTTAATCGCCTGCATCACATCCGTCCCCTTTCTTACCCCCTTCCCAGCCTTCTTCTCCTCCACCTTCCCCAGCCACTGCATCTCACACCTCGCATATTCCACCCATAGCGTCTCTTCGCCAGTGCAGAATCGGCACCCCCTCAAAAAGTGCGCTCGCGCCCTCTCCATATCCCCATTCCTTGCCGCCCTCTTACCCGCCAGCGCCCACAACCCAGCATCAGTTGGGTGCAGGCGCAGCGCGCGTGTGCAGATACGTCGCCATCGCTTGGTCGCGCGGGCATCGTTGGCCGCGAAATCGAGGTAGGCGCGCCAGAGCGAGACGTCGCCAGGGTGTTTGAGCACGGCACGCTCAAAGATGCCAAAGGTACGGGCGTGGCTGGCATGTGAGGAGGCGCCGGGGGTGGTGCCGCGCAGGTTGAGACGGCGGCATCGTTTGGCGCGGAGACGGTCGAGGGAGCGTTCCCAGGCAACGTAGGAGAGGAAGTCGGTGGATTTGGTGCCTGGGGCGAGGATCAGGTGTTCGTAATCGGAGCGTTTGGTGACGAGGGAGCGGATTTCGTCCTAGCGGGAGAGAGGGGGTTAGCTGGACCTGAGCGTGGAGACTTTCCATTGGAGGTTGTGGATGGATGAGGGGAGCTGACTTTGGAGAATATTTCTTTTTCCTCGAAGTCACGCAGCTCCGGAGCTGCGCGCTCGAGATAGAAACGCGCCTTGTCGGAAACCCCGGCCATTTTACGGGTGAGGAAAGACAATTGCAGAGTCCAATTGCGGATCGGGGTCGATGCGAAGTTCCATCAGTTTGAGGTTGGATGCTGGACTTTTTAGTGGGGAATTGAAACTGCCGACGGTTACCGCCTGCCCGCAATGGTTCGGAGTGACATGTTCCCACTTTCCCGGTCGCATTCCGCACCCAATCCTCCCATAACTAAACGCTAATCCCTGAACGTCCGATGGAATGCAACTGACAGGGGCTTTCATCTTTTGAGGTTCGCACTTCGGATCCCACGATCGCGCGCCGAGGCTTCCGGCGAGCTTCCTGCTAACTAATCATTTACCAGCTCGTGCCTTTTCCACCTCCCGCGACAACCCCTCCCATTGACATCTTCATTTCCCGACAACCTAATTTTTTCATTTCTTTCCTTTGTCCGACCATTGGGAGCCGGTGTTGCAGTCTCTCGCTTCTCCTGGGGGCTACTACTACTTTAATTACAGAACGAGCGTTTCCTTGACATGTGCACGCGTGCATAACTCGCTCCCACCGAACGAATCCTATATTCCAGATCTCCACTTCTCTTTTCAGTGGATTCCGTACCTCCGACCTAAAAACCATGGCGGCGTCCCGTTACAAAGATAAGGACGCCGGTGTGGTGCTGTCCTTTGGCGGCCAGTGGGTGAGCTGGTCGCACACTGCCGTCGCCTACTGTGGGTAGCATCGAGATCTTTGCTTGGCAGCTTCATCAACGCGTAGCATCGAGTTGTTGACCCCTCTTCCCCTCGCAGTGGCCTTCCTGAGCGCCCTTATTGTGGGCTCCGCGTTACACTACAACAAAATCGTGCAAAATGAATGGTACGGCTACCCGGACGAGTGGTTTCCGTCCGTCTCGGCCACCATTGGGGACCGTTATCCCGAGCGATCCTTGTTTATGATCTTTATCGCCATCACATCAGGTGCGCCCCTCTTCCTCTCTCCCGCCCCCATGAGGGTATCCCTAACTAATACCTAATATCTAGGGCCACGATTTGCCCTCGTTGGGTTGTTCTACCTCCTTACCGCGAAACCCGGCCGTTCCCTCCCGAAAGCGGTCGCGATCTCCGGCCTCATACGAACACTAACATGCGGCGGCTGGACCTACATTACATCGACCGACGACCATGACTGGCACGACATCCTGATGATTGCGTACATCGTTTTCACCATCCCTTGGACGACCGGCTGCATCGTATTGAGCCCCCCGAACCCGAAAGCGATCAAGTATCGGAAATATCTGGCCGCCGGCTTCTTCGGCACCCTGGTGCCTCTGGTTTATTTCTTCATCCAGCACAAGGTGCACCGTGTGGCGGGTGGTAAGTGGAACATCAGTCGTAATGGTACTGCTACGGGGGCTAACCTTGCGTCAAGCCTACACAATTTACGCCTTCTTCGAGTGGACCTTGATCCTTCTCGATGTTGCCTTCGATGCCGTCACCGCGCTAGACTTTAGCACTTTCGAGGTGGTGATCAGGGACGTTAAGGGCACGACCAAGGGGTACGTGCAATGGCTTCCGCGCTAGGCTTTATCTTGTCCCCGGACTCGATCGGGCTGGGGCTTGTACATAACGACTTTTGATGAATGAGACCACGAGGACATGTTCTAAGATTATGGTTGATAGTGCTAGCAAGTCGTCTGTGCCCACCGCTGCGACTGAGAAGGAGTAAGACACCCTGGGTTCTTTTTCTCGCTGACTGAGTTGGTAACTGATACAATGACGTTAGAAACGAGGCGATTGCCGATTTCTTTGCGACAGAGTACCGTTTGAGCGATGCATTGGATATCGCCGCCGATGTCTACCATGGGGTATGTCGCTCTCAGTGTATGACAACATGAACTTGATCTAACGGCCGTAGTTTGTTTTCTGGTCCATCCTGACCAGTCTGGGACTCTGTGTGTGGTGTAAGTGATCCCCTTTTGCCATTTAACAAGACTGCCCAGTCTTACCAATTCCCAGACTTCCCACTCTGGCACATGGGCATTTCGGGTTTCGAGGCGCTCATCATGACCACGGTATCGCCCGCGTTTCTCGCCATCAAGCCGATCCGTTCCCTCGTGGTGAAGAACCAACGCGCTGTCCACCTGTCTTCCCTCGCCGGCCTTGCGGCGTACCTGGTGGAGGATCCCACTTACCGGGTTTTCGCCGTCGGGTTTGGTGTTTCGGCCACCTGCCTCGGGTGGGCGGCCACTCTGTACTCGGACTCGGTCCAGCCTGCGAGGTTGGAACGGCGTGTTCTGGCCTGGACCGTCGGGCTTCTCATGTCGTCGGTCGCCAAGTTCGCGTGGTATACCAACAACCCGATCTGGCCGATCATGCACGCGGCCAACGGAGGATGGAACGCAACCGGACTGGTGCTTGCCGGGCTCGCTGCGTTCCGCTTCACCCGCCTTGCGCCGTTGCAGGGAGGAAACCCGGTCAGTGAGAAGAGTGGATCGGCCGTGCTTTCATCTTTTGGCATCGGCGGTTTGTTCTTTGCTTTGCACTCGCTGCTGTCCGATACCAGCACCATGATCTTGTGGGTGTGGGACGGGTACCCGATCAAGGGTCCTGTCTCGAATGTCCACGGCTGGTACACCATTGCCGCCATGACTGTCGGTTTCGTCGCCGGCATCTCACGCCCTGCGCTCGTCGGTACTTGGACTGCCTACGGTATCGGCTGCCTGGGCGCCACTGTCCTCACGCTCTATGAGCAGTGGTTTGGGTACTATGGGGCTTTGGTGCTGACCGCGTATCTCACGGCCATCTCCGTTCCTCTGATCAGCAATGCGGCGAAGAAAAGCCCTGCCGTGACGTTTGGGCTCGGCTTCTTCCTCTACAACCTTGTGGTCTTGTTCCACGTGTGGGTTGTCGCATATGCCTTTGTTCCCGGCGGTCCCCTGGTTCGCGAGCGGACCGACTGGGTCATGCTCACGACGATGCTGTTGATTGGGGCCGGCGTGTTCAACCTGATCACGCAACAGGCCCAGACTGCCCAGAAGAACGCTGCGCCCCGTCGCCCGCGGAACAACACGAACCACCGCAAGTACCACTTTAGCGTGCTGGGTCTCCTCAACGTGCTCTTCCTCTGCGCCAACTTCCTGCGCTTCCCCAGCAACGACTACAAGCCATACCACCCCGAAGACCGGTTGCTGACTGCGGGCATCTGGACGATCCACTTTTCCCTGGACAACGACATGTGGTCATCCGAGTACCGCATGCGTGACCTGATCAAGGAACTCGAGGTCGATGTCGTCGGGTTGCTCGAATCCGACCTCCAGCGCATCATCATGGGCAACCGCGACACGACGCAGTTCCTCGCCGAAGACCTCGGCATGTATGTCGACTACGGGCCGGGCCCCAACAAACACACCTGGGGCGCAGCCCTGCTCTCCAAATTCCCCATCCTCAACTCGACTCACCACCTTCTCCCCAGCCCCGTCGGCGAGCTTGCTCCCGCCATCCACGCCACCCTCGACGTCTACGGCACCGCCGTCGACGTTTTCGTCTTCCACTCCGGCCAAGAAGAAGACCCCGAAGACCGCCGCCTCCAGTCCGAGTACCTCGCCAAACTCATGGGCTCCACCCCGCGCCCGAGCATCCTCCTCTCCTACCTCGTCACCAACCCGCTCGAGGGCAACTACAACACGTACGTCTCCCCCACCAGCGGCATGCACGATGTAGACCCCACCGACGACGACCGGTGGTGCGAGTACATCCTGTTCAAGGGCCTGCGACGCACGGGGTATGCCCGTGTCAGCCGCAGCACGATTACGGACACGGAGCTGCAGGTGGCTAAGTTTGTGGTGCCGGCGTCGGAGTCGGACTTTGTGTCGACTTGGACGGCGCCGAAGACGTTGAGGAATCGCCGGGTGCCGGAGGAGGAGACGGCCGAGGGGTTGAGGTTCCCGGCGATGTTTAGGGGGGATGGGGTTAGGGATCATCGGTATCATGTTTTTGATGAGCCGAGGTATTATGCTTTTTAGGGCTGAGTCAGGTGGATGGCATGGGGTTTGGGGTAATAATGGATGATCGGATATGAACGGAATGTGAGATGTAAGATGTGGGTTGGGAATGGGGTTGGGGGTCAGGGGTTGTTTTGGGTAGTTAATGTAATTGTGGACGGAGCACACGGATCGGAATGATGGGTTTAGGACCTGGAAATCGCAGGATGTGATGGGTGCGTGTATCCGTAGATCCGCGCTTTTCGGAGTTTCCCAATACCCAAACGTCGTCTAGCGCTCTCTTATCTCTCTGTTTGATCCCTTCCTTCTCGCCATCCTTTTCCCCGCCTGATATTCGATCAAACCCAACCCATTCAATATTTACCACCCTCCTTTTTTCCCACCCTCCTTTCCCCCCTTTTCCCATCCTCCTTCCCCCCCCCTCCTATTCCCCAACCTCTCACAGACTTACACGGGCACGTAGGTAAATGTCTACTCAACCCGAACAACCAACTTCCCCCCACTAATCTCCCCCCCCCTCATCCGATTCAAACCCGCGTTAACACTCCCCAGTCCGCCCTGCTGTATGTCAATGATATCCGCCGGCGCGATCAACCCGTGGGCGAGTAAACGCTCCAGCCAGAGGACGAGGGCTTCGCCTAGGGCGGGAAGGTCGTGGAAGAGTTTTATGGGGATTGTGTGGAAGTTTGGTGTGTTATCGTTTTGGTAAGGGGGTGGGAAGGGGGGGTTGGGGAGGCCGGTTAGGCCTATGAGGTGGGATTTTTTGGGGGCGGTTTTGGTTTGGGGGATTGTTGACGGGGGGAGGGTTGTTGGGGGGGTGGGTTTGTCGTTGCGGTTGCGGTCGGGCGTGGATGGGGGTGAGGGGGGTTGGTCGACTTCCACGTGAGGTATCGTGTCCTCTTCTGTAGTATCCTCCTCTTCATCGTCTGCTTCTTCTTCGGTTTGGTTCTCGAGATCGGCAACATCCAACGCGCGCATCAACCACGCAGCGGAATCTCGTCCTCTGGTGTCTATCCCGAAGCGCAGTCCCCCGGTCCCATTCCCATTCCCATTCTCATTACCCCCCTCGCTGTTTCTGTGGTTAGGATGCCGGCGGACAGTCGCCCGGATGATATCCACTGCCCGCGCCGGATCGTGGCTGTCGACTAGCAGGTCGGGTTTGAGGGATGGGTGATGGGACAGGCGCAGGCCGTGCTTAGCGGTGTCGGCTATGGCCATGGTGCGCAGGCCGGCGAGACGGGCGAGTTGGAGGATCAGGTTGGCTGATGTAGATGATGCTAGACGATTAAATATTAGCAGTGCGGATGGACATAAAGGGGGTAGGTGGTTAGACAAAGAGTGGGTAAATACGCACCCCCCCAAACAGCAACCCAATCCCCCGGCCTAGCCCTATCCCCCTCCTCCAAATTCCCCAAACACTCCTCTCTCACATCAGCCGGGATCGACTCCGGCGGCAACGACCGCAGCAGGGTGTACAGGTCCGGCCCGTCGTGCACGTGGGAGAAGTCCAGCCCCATGTTGACGCCGATGGATAGGGCGGCCACGACAAAGGCTACGCCGAGGGTGGCACCCTCTTCGAAGGAGAGATGCGGGGGCAGGCGGACGGTGTTGTAGTCGAGGCTGATGGCGTACTGTTGGTAGGCGGCTTTGCGCAGGTCGCGGTAGTCAGTTGAGATTACGATTACCTGGGCGCGTTAGGGTTATTGACCGTACAGGAAACAAATCAACTGCCTTGAGTAGGAGGTAATTAGTGTAGTGGGCTGGCTGTCTTACTTTATCGCCGGACTGGAATCGGGATGACTGCCCAGGGTCCACAACTTCGCCGGCTAGCTCTCGACCAGAGATGTAGGGCAGTACTGGGATACCAAAGTTGAAATCACTGTTGTGTATTAATCACTAAAGGCCAGAAACACTTTGATAGGGATGGGGATATAGTTCAGAATGGACTTACGGCGCCTTCCAGTCCATCGGGTTGAGGCCAATGGCACGGTTCCGGACGAGAACCTCCCGGTCATGTTGTGATGCGGGAACGGGATATCCATCCTGTAAAACATACGGCTGCCGTGTTGCGTGGAGGAGAAGAACCGTCTGGGTGTCGGGTATAGCCAGGGGGTTGCTTGATAAAGGGGTATTGACGCCGGCAGTCGAGTCAGCCGTTTCGGATTTCGTCCTCAACGGCAGCTTACCCGGGCCGTGTAAGTCATCCCTCGGGACGTGCTCAGCTGCGACGCTCATCGTGTAGAATTGTCCGTCCGTAATGAGTTGATTGCAGAACGCAAGATGACAAACGAGCAAACACTGCCGAAGACGGCTGGCTACTCCTTAGTCAATATATAAATAACAAAACGCTAAAACCCACAACCACACCATCCAACGAAGCGGAGCAAAAGTGGCAACCGACCCTCATCCTTCACACTCTCTCCCCTCCGAACCGGAACACCCCAAACACACACGCCCATTTAGAAATCAGTCCCATAGCCGGCCGCGTTCCTCCTCTGGGAGTCAAGAGAGGGGCTTGGTCAAGGGGGTCCACATGCACGCAAAAGTCACAACACGCCGCGCAAATTGCGCCATCGCGGATCAACCCGGCCAACCGGCCCCATTGGCCTCGCGATGTGCTACTTCTGCGTAACTTGCGTACAATTGGGCTTTTTGTTAGGGACATGTGGGTGGTTGTTGGCCCCCACGCCCAGCTTGGAATGACATAAGGGGTTTTAGGAATGGAGGCGCACGAGGTAGAGGGGATGTTCTTTTAGGTCCACCTTTTTTCGTTTGGTGGTGTTGCGCATGGCGGACAGATGTCGGTCGAGGTCCCGCATCGCTGATGGCCTGATGTTGAACCTTGGCATGGTTATGAGAGGGGTGATCTCTGGAACGTGGTTCTTCTCGTGGCTGGTTCCGTTTGGCCGATTTCATGCTCGAGATGAGGTCGTTTCGTGTTAGTGTGGGACGGGGGTTAAGCTCAACTACGAGCACGTGCGAATGCTTGCATAAGTACCTTTGTAGAATAGACCACAAATCAAAAGAGAGTGACAACAATTCTCAATCCAAGTTTTGGGTGCAAGTCTTTACTTGGGTTATTAATTATATGAGTGTCACTGGTGTTTTGTTACTTGCTGAATATGATCAGTGTCTCTTGGAATCAGACAACAACAGGTGCATGACACCGGTCAGAATACCCAGAATGAGCCAGACAATTCAAGTAACTAAACGAAAAGTTCCACTATTGTTTTATCATCAATCTACAAAGCTTCCTATTCTCTAATGTTCAAAACATATGTATGCCCCTGACTCACACGTGAGGCTTTTGGCAGCAACCAATTCATTAATTAGGTAATTACCTTGATTAGGTACTTACACAGGCCTACCAACATCATATGAACAAACACACTTGCAAGAGCCAATTCAAAGAAACGACAAGTTTAGACACAGTATTATCAATAATATACAAATCCCCCAACCCCCCCAGGCCCCCCCTATTCAAATATACAGATTATTCCCCTGACTAACAGGCGAGACCTTCCACGTCCCCATCGTCCCCATCGTTCCCGTCCCAATCCTCGACAACTCCATCGTACCCGTCCCCAAACTCGAATCCTCCAACTCATGCTGCGTATTCCTCCTCCACGCCTTCTCCGGCAACTCCGTCATCACCGTCGGCGAGTCATCCCTTCCCCCTAGCCCTTGCCCTTGCCATTGCCCCTGCATCATCGGAAACTTCCACCCCCCCGCAGCCGCAGCCGCAGCCGTTGAGAGAGAGGTCTGCGAGCTTCCAATCTCCGTCGCGGCGTGCGCGTGCGTGGGTAACTCGAACTTGCCGGTGGGGTATACATAGCTTGGTGGCCGTTGATGGGGAGGGTAGTACTGCGCGTTTTCGACCACTTGCAGGTCTGTGTCTTCTTCCGCTTCGCGTTTCCGGCGTTGGCGGCGGATGCAGAGCAACGCCGCTGCGGATACTGCGAGCGCTGCGAGGAGTACGCACCCGATTGCGATGCCGGCTATCGCGCCTGTTGATAATCCCCCAGATCCCGTTCCCTCACCACCACTACTCCCCACATCCACCTCCCCCGTAGCTGCAATACCATGGTTTCCCGTAGCAGCCGTAACAGTAGTCTTCACAGTCACCGTCCCCACCTCCAACCCCTCAATAACCGGCAATGCCGCACCCCCCGGTACCAACCAACCCCTGGCTTCATCCATCGTCGGACACGCCGCTGCCACCGTCCTAGCAACAGGCGTATACTCCCCCGCCGGCGTCCCCGTCGCCGTCTTCGCCGCCTCCCCAAATAAACTCGCTAATACCTCGAAATCGGCAGCTGTCGTCGACGGCACCTCCCCCGCGCCGCGATCATCAGCATACTCAGCGATCCCAAACCCCGTGTCATGCATCGTCCACTCGAAAACACTAGCGCCGGAGAAGACGTCTTGGTAGGTCGGGGAGAGGGCGCGGGCGACTTCGGCGAAGGTGCGGGGGGATGATGGGTCATCGGAGGAGGGTCGACAGCCGGCTTCGGAGAGGACGACGGGGATGGGGAGGGGGAGGGAACGTAGGGATTGGTAGAGGGATTTCCAAGTTGTGAGGGAGCAGGAGGCGTCTTCGAAGAGGTTGAGACCTAGGAGGTCGATGGAGGAGGTTGTTCGGTTGGAAGGAGAAGCAGAAGAAGAAGAAGAAGAGGAGGAGGGGGATGAAGGGTCGTCGCAGGTGAGGTACTGGGCGGTGATTAAGCGGAGGGAGTCGATGTCGGCGGCGGAATAGGATAAGGGGATGGGGCGGTAGCCGCGGGCGATGCGGAAGGCGTGGAGATCGCGGGCGGCGGCTTTGAGGGAGGGTGCGACTTTGGTGGCAACGCCGGGTTCGGGGATGGTTTCTTGGCCGATGCCGAAGGCGAGGATGTTGGGGTACAGGGCGAAGGCGTCGAGGGTTTCGGTCCATTTGGCGTAGACGGAGAGGGTCCATTGGGGTTTGTCTTGGGTCTGGGGATTTGAGTCAGTGGTTATTCACACATCAACACACCATCAACGCACATATCATGACATGAGGTTGTGAATTATGAGATGAATTCTCTCACGTACCGTTTTGGTGGAACGGGGAAAGTCTCCCAGCTGGAGCCAGACGTAGATGCCATGATTCGCAAACGCCTTCATGCAGCCATCGTGATCCTGCTCATTATCGACCGTGTAGACATAAACGGTATTAATTCCCGCCTTTTGCATCAACCCCGCGTCCGTTTCACACTGTTTAGTGTCCAAGAGAGGGTCCAAGTCCCCGGCCGGAGGTGAGTAGGCGACACCTGATCATGAAACATTATGAGTGAGACTGGGCATTCATTCGGAGCTGGATGCTCAAAAAGGGAAGAGCCTAGAGGCTATCCGTACCTCGGACAAAGAATTGGTTTCCATCCTGGTCGTACAACTTGGTCCCCTTGACGGATATCGGGGATATGGCCGCGGCAAGATTCGGTAGTAGCACGAGCAAGAGGCCCACCGAAAACAATAGGAGTATCATGCCTGCAACACCTCAACCCAGCGGATCATGGCGCCGAGAAAAACAAAAAAGGAAGAAATTGCGCAAAATCTCACAGAAGACCGACGGGACCGAAGGAAATTGTGGCGCGCGAGAAAGCCAAGAGTAAAGGAAAACACACTCCCCCCCGAAAGATAACGTTAACTTCAATCCGTTGAGCAACAAAACCCAGACCGACTTGTGGGGTGGATTTTGTCTCACATGTCCCAAAAACGGATTAACGAAATCTGGAAGCCTAAGAGCTGGAGCTGGGGAGAGAGAGACCATCGGCGCATCGGCGCATCGCGACAGGCCCTACCGGGAAACCCGCAGCGGCGTCTTTCGTCTCGGCTCGGCAGTCTTGTCGATCAAAAAGACCACTTCCGCCCAGCCGCAGCCACAGAACAGCAGAGCTGGGGCAGCCTCGAGGGCGCTTAGTGTTGAATGGGACTCAATGGGACGGGGGGGCGGCGATCTTGGCTTTCTTGGCTGCTGTTTTCTTTGCAAAAGGCTACGAATAACGTTAGCTCGTTCCAGGTTACCTCCAGTGACCTCCAGACGAAGGCGTCGCGTTCGGCGCAGGGCCACGGCACGGGTGGAAACTGGGTGGAAATCGCGTGGTGCTGTGCCGCCTGGAGGATAACCGATTCCCTGGTTGCACTTGCAATTTCCCCCCGACCTGCCGTATTGGGGCCGAACAGGTGGAAAAGCTGCGGGCGCGCCGTTGGAGGGCCCACCTAACCTACCCACCGACGCAGGGGCAGACGAACTGGTTGCTATCTATGTACGATTTACGAATTGCTCGTAAAACGAATAAAATATATATATATCGATTGATAGTGCTTCGTGGTCGGGTTGAAAAGGTAAAAGGTCAAGGGTGAGTGGTCAAGCACCTAGGAACGGGCCGATGCGAGAAAATGAGATGACCAACAGCGCCGTTCGAAAGAACACTTCCAGAAGTTCCAGACGTTCCAGCTGCCCGGTGCCATCTCCAGTTCCATTAACTCAAAGTCCTCCTCACCATCTCCTTCAGCGCCCCCTCCACATACGCCTCACTCCTCCACCCACTCCAATCATGACTCAACAGCCCCCACGACTCCTCATAATCCCACGTGCCCGACCGAATGTAATAACTCCCCGCCAAGACCCAAATCGTCCACCCAGCCTTGCGTGCCGGCAGGTATTCCGTCAGACAGCTCGCATACACCCCCTGCCACGTGCTCTCGTCCATCTCAAACCCAAACTCGGTCATCATCACCGGCATCACGTTCGCGACGCCCTGTTTTCCTTCGTCTAGCGCTTCAAACCCGTTGCGGTCGAGGTTGCCGCTTAGGGTGTCGCAGCTGGTAGCGCTGTTTTCGTAGTTGTGCAGTTCCAAGACGAGTTTATTCGCGAACCCGGGGGCGAACTCGTCTGGTTTGAAGGTGTTGCTGCCCGGTGTCAGGGCGGTGCCTTGGACTACTGGGGTGAGGAAGGTGTCGAAGTTCAGGCCAGATAGAAAGATGAGCACGTCTGGGTTGGCGCTGTTCACGGCGTTGGCGCCTTGTTGCATGAAGTCGTGCCAACTGGCCCAGTTGTACGTCGACTTGCTCGGGTTGGATGGCGGTTCACGGGGCTCGTTTCGCAGGCCCATCGAGACGAGCGCTGGCCAGGCTTTGCCCTGAGGTAGAGTTAGACCCGAGTTGATATCATGCGTGACCCAAACCTAGGAAGGAAACGGGAGAGAAGAAAAAGAAAAAAAACAAACATACATGCTCAGCCATGTACCCTAACCCCCTAACCCACCGTCCCGTATCAAAATCCCGATCCCCCCACCAACTATTCCCATCATCCGTCGAACAACACCACATCCCCTTGGAAATATGATTATCCAAATGCACATACACCTCCTGACTTCCCAACTCCTCCACCACCTTATCAAACACCTCCAACCTCGTCGTCTCTTTTGTGAGTTCCGGATTCCGTTCCAACACCATCCCCAACACCCTCTCCCCTTCACTCTGCCCCAGCGCCTGCACAAACGCCGTCTCAATCGAGATATCCACCCCTCCATTATCATAAATCTCGTCGATCATCTGGATGGCATAGGTGAGACGCACGGCGTTCATGCCGAGGGATTTGACCTTGTCGACGATGGAGGAGATGGATTGGTATTGCAGCCCTTCGGGGATCATCACGTCGGCGTGGCCGGGCCAGTTGGTGCCGGCGTAGGTGAGGTTTTGGTTTGAGGCGTTGAGGATATAGCGGCCGGAGGTTGTGAAGGGGCCGTCGGGCCAGGTGGCGCGGGTGTTGGGGTTGGAGGCGGGGGCATTGGGGGCGGCTGTCGTGAAGGGGAGGAGGGAGAGAAGGAGGTTGAGAGGGATCCTCATGGTTGCTTGTTTGCTGGTGGTGGTTAGAAAAGGGATATGTGTGCCTTCGACTCTCGAATTGGAGAAAAAGAAGACCGCAAACTTCGTAGGTGTGTCGAAAGATACCACCGGTAATGAGAACCCGTCCAAAACTGAGTTTATAACATCGAGTCTGAATAGAGGGGCACCGGACTCCCCATTTTGGGAGGTTCCATTGAGCAATAGTGCAGATATATTAACTCAAGAATTTGGCCGTTGAATCTGGCTAATTACAGTTTGATTTCGGTTCGTCGGGATAGGAAGTGCCGAGAATGCCGGGCGTATGATTGAGCGGCTGTAACACTAAGACGTTTGTTCGAATTATTGACATTGAAAAAGTGATATGTGCGGCGTGTAATTATTGTTCAAGTCTCGTCGTAATGTGAGTTTAAAAATGGTTGGCCCCGGGGAGTTGGTACCTGGCGCTGCTCTGCAGATAGTAGTAGGAGGATGCCCAGTTCCGATCCTACTGGTCATGATTATCCATAGTTACGGTATAATAAGGTCATGTGCAAGGGCCGGCTACTCCTGTGAGAGTGAGGTTGAGAACAGAGAGTGGGTGGTGAACTAGGCAGGTGGGGAATGGGCTGAGGAACTGGGAATGGCTCAATTGATGAATAGGACATACCTCGTTCCTTTCTTGTCCGATACACCAACCCTGTATAGACTAGACCAGGAGATTTCCATTTCGTCCTGCCATTGTCCCCCAAAATATCTCTCTCCCGATGCTCCATTTACATGGTCATTATTGCGAATTATAGTTGGGTCTTCCGAGGAGTGATGCATAGGAAGGAAAAGAAGAAAATATTAAAAAGAAGTTGAAAGAACAGTCGCAAGCAGAAAAGTCTTCCAAGATCATCACGAAATTGTTGTCATTGATAAATTACACTCTGGATCGTAACCATCCCGCTACATGCTATGCTAACAAGGCACTCGTTGCCTGCGCTCCCAATCCGCTTCTCCTAGCCATCCTGCCTTCCACCCCCTCAGTTACCCCTACAACTCCCTCCTCCGAAACTCCACCATCGGCCCATCCTTCAAACTCGTAAAAGTATCCCTCAACTGATACTCCCCGACCTTCTCCCGTCCCCAAACCGCCCCCTTCAACCCACCCTCCCCAGGATCACCTACACTCACCGCCCTCCGAATATCATACATAAACAACACCCTCGCCAGCGTAATACTCATCTCCACATACGCCAGCCCCTTCCCAATACACCCCCGCGGGCCGATCGAAAAGGGACAAAACGCGCTCTGCGCAAGCGCCACTTGCTCTTCGCTCACACCACCCATGCCCTGCGGGGTTTTCTCGCCGGCCAGAAGCCACCGGTCCGGACGGTAGGCAAACGGCTCCGGGTAGTAGGCCGCGTTATGGTGGATGGTGTAGTGCGGGGTGCCGACGACCATGCCCTCGGGCACGCGCTCGCCGTCAATGGTGATCCCACCAGCCAGCACCTCCCGCGGGAGCAGGCCGCCGACGGAAGGGGACAGACGCATGGCTTCATCGATACACGCGCGGAGGTACCCGCATCCCTGCTGCAGCGGCGCGCCTTGGTGGATATCTTCCAGGTTGGCGAACTGAGCGCGGACTTCGGCGGTGGCGCGGGCGAGACAGGCCGGGTGGCGGACGAGGTAGAAGAGGGTGGCGGCCATGGCGGTGGAGGTGGTGTCGGAGCCGGCGATGATGAGGAGGTTGGATTCGCCCCAGAGTTCGGGGGTGGTGAAGCCCTGGCCGGTTTGCGGGTCGCGCGCTTTGAGGAGGTGGTAGAAGAAGTCGCGGCGGTCGGTTTCGTCGCCGAGGGCGGTGCGCTCGGTGAGTTGGGCCCGGCTGTAGGCCATGTATTTGGCGCGGCCGGCGGCGATTTTGTGGAAGAGGATTTTGTCGAGGGAGAGTTTGTTGACTATGGGCATGGTGCCGCACTGGAAGGAAGTGTTAGGAGAAACCAACCGCATGGATTATTGGTGGAACTACTTACAAGCAGATGTCGCTGAGCAGCCACACCCACCAAGTCGACAGCGTACCGGTTATCCGGACGGTCAAGCATGTGGAAGGCCTTTCCGAAGCAGAGATCGCCCAGGATGTCCATGGCTAGCCAGTTGCACCAGTCGGCCATATTCTTGGGTGCACTCCATCCCTTACGCTCGTGGATCGCACGCCCATAGTCGCCGATGCCTTCGCAAAAGGTGCGGATGTTGGCCAGGATGTAGCGCTCGACTTCCTTGATGGCGCCGTCCGAGAAGGCGTGCGACAGGACGCGGCGCTTGCGGGCGTGCAGGTCCTTGTCGCGGGCATTGTGGGTGTTGGGGGCCGGATGCACAAAGGCGTCATAGAATTCGGCCTTGCGAACGTTGGCGCGGAAACCATAGATGTCCTTGAGCGCCGTGTTGGAGTTGACTGAGAGTGCGTTGGGTCCGAAGCGCACAAATTTGCCGTATTTTTCATGCATGCGCCAGAACTCGAGGTGCCGGTCACCACGCCAGGCAAAGTAGAGCATGTAGGCATCGGTCAGCTTCGCCAGGAACGGGCCTGGGTACTTGGCCAATGGGTGGAAAAAGAGGCGGTAGACGACCACACATGTTGTGTAGAGGATACCGGACGCTGCTAGTATCCCCAGCCAGAGCTGGAGATGTTCTGCGCTGAACGCCATGATGGGAGGAGGGTTGACGGAGGATCGTGGACGCAGCCCGCAGCAGGCTTCAATGAAACCTTTAAAACATAAAAAAAGATTCTCAAGACTAACGTTGGAGGAGAGGACTTATAAAGCCGGGACTCCCGGTGGGCATCCCGAAGAGGCCTTCGGCGGAACTGTGTAACGCCCAATTCAGCGAAACAGGAGCCCCTCAGGGAGCCACAGGGCCACTGGGCTCGTGATGCACCCGTTTCGAGTAATCCTATGGGCTGCGATTGGACAATGGCCTTGAATCTTGAAGCTTCTTTCCCTCGCCTCGCGATGATGAGCACACGAGCTCGGCTTTCCGCGGCATAAACCGAGGGGTGAGACCCGCGGTGTCCTTTATCAGCAGCAATGCCGCAGCGATAAGACCTGCTGCAAACAAAATCAAGCAAACTCTCCACAGTGCTTTCGTACGTGGCAGGTTTACGGTTTCGGGCTTCACAGCTCTATGTCGGGATGTCGGGATTACTCATATCACGGCTTTTTAGAACCGACAACAGTCTGGGAGGGCTCATTGGAGCGGCGGGGCGCGGAACGAGCGGAACGCTGGTGCGCCTCGGTGACAGGCGGCTCGAGGCGGGCGATGGAGGGTCGTTCGTTCCCCCGGACCCCAGAAAGAGGAGTGCGATGGAGCCAGGGATAAAATCTGGGGTCGATCACCTCGGGATTCGGGTCTATGAATGAGAAAAGTGCAAGAGGAAAACAATGGTAAGAGGGTCGGTGTTGCCCGGGACGGTGTTTCGGGCTCTTGGAACTTGAAGCCCTAGTAGGCACCTGGAAGCCGACCGAATTACGAATTACATCGTCTCTTTCGGCGGGTCGATTAAGGCCGTCAAACAGCGTCACCGACGTCACTTATTGAACACGGACCTTCGGTGCTCATCGTTGCGGTTGGCCGACCGGCAGATGACCACGCGCTCGGCATGCGACGGCGTTGAATGTGCCTTCGGCAAGTGGGTCTGTCTAGTCGAGGAGGGTGACCCACTTGTGTAGTGGCTTGCTGTGGCGCACTGAGAAGGAATGTGGCTGATTTACGCTGCTGCAAGGCTGAAAGGCTGAACACCAAACTGGCGCCCGTCGCGTTTGTTGGTTAGAAACGACCGCGCCATGCCGTTCGACAACACTCCCCAACGACAATAACGGCAGAATTCAAAAGCAGACAAGATGACAATCTGCAAATTCTACCAGCAGGGCTATTGCCGCAACGGAAGTACGAATATTGCCGCCTCTCGGGATATTTTTATGCTTATGTTTAATCTCCCACTACCCTCCCCCAACTGCACGAACTGGCGGGACGCCAATGGGATCGACCACCAACGCGACTCGCCTTACCGCTCTGCCTATCACACGCCACGACACCTGCCCAACGAGAGACCTTGGCTGACTCCTGCGTCCTGACCTCCAGATGCCTGCAGATTCGAGCACCCTCCAAAAGGAGGTAACCAACAACAAAATTATAACAGATTCGGTGCCCTCTCTGGGCAACAAAACCAGGGGATGAATTCGCGGGGTGGAGGTATGTGTTGCACCTTTGTTGTTTGACCCCTGTTGAAGAGGAGAAACTCATAAATACCAGCAGCGGATGCCCCTAGCTATCCCGGCCTGACTGCCGAAGCAATTGGCCGCGACCTTCGCGACGAGCTCCCGACCTGGATCCTGTCCTGCTACGGCCCCGGAAGGGATGCACCGGAACAGCTATGGGGCGGCTACCCACGGGAGCAGAGCCCCGAGGAAATACGGTTGCACTTCATGAAGGGTCAGGCGGCGGGAAATCCCCAGGGCGCGGTATGTCGACCCTGCGGTCGCTCAGACTAGACATTACGGCTGACCATTTACGTGCCACAGCTCAATGATATCCAGCAACTGTACCAGACGGCGCAGCAGCAGATTGAACATACCCTTGGCAATCTCCCGATGGCGATCCAATACGTTATGGACGGGGCCAAGAAGCACCCCAACCGGTTAGACATTTGCAATCAAGGGTCGTCAGGTGTTGCAGGAGCTGGTGCATCGTCTGGGGGCGGTGCCGTCGGCGGAAACAATGCATTCCAACAGCGGAACCAGCCGGTCAATAATCCGTTTGGAGCTCCCGCTACTCCTGCAGCGGGCAATAATGCCTTTGGGCAGCCTGCTGCGTTGGGCCAGAAACCGAACCCATTCGGCACGCCCGCTGCTTCTACAACACCTTTTGGCCAGCCTGCTCAGCAAGGAGGACCTGGTTTTGGCCAACCGTCAGCATTATCAAATCCATTCGGGAAGCCTGCAGCGCCTGGATTTGGCCAGCCTGCCGCGTTGGGAGGTTCGACCCCTTTCGGCGGTGCTGCACAACAACCAGCTGGGGCGTTTGGACAGACGAGCGCGCTGGGAACCAAGCCGAATCCCTTCGGCGCACCGGCATCGTCACAACCATCACAACCTGCGTTTGGGCAATCTGGGTTCGGTCAGCCCGCGGCGCTTGGTGCCCGGCCAAACCCTTTTGCAGCAGCAGCTCAAGCTGGTGGACAGGGCGGATTTGCGGCTTCACAAGCGACGCCTGCGAACAATCCTTTTGGCCAACCAGCCCAGCAACCTCAGCAAAACCAGGCCGCACCCAACCCCTTTGGCCAAGCGGCAAACAACCAACAACAGAATAACCCATTCGGACAACCGGCCCCAGCAGCCGCGAATCCATTCGGTGAACCATCCGCTCCCGGAGTCTCCGGAAGGCCTAATCCGTTCGGCCAACCTCAGCAACAGCAACCAGCCCAACCAGCCCAACAGCCGCAACAAGCAGCAAACCCCTTTGGCGGATCTCTCGCAACCGGCCCTCCCGCCAACCCTTTCGCAGCAGCAGCAGCAGCAGCAGCCCAGCCCTCCGCAGCACCCAACCCCTTTGCCAACGCCGCCGCTCCCGCGCCCGCAGCCGCAGCTCCCAAACCCGCTCCCGGCACCGGCCCCTACCCCCCCGGTTCCACCCGCCAACACCCCGACATCACCACCTACGCCTCCTTCAACCCCGACAAAACCCTGCGCATGTACAAAGGCAAACCCGTCTACTACGAGGAACCGAAAGGCGGCGGAAAGCCGGTGCCGTGCCTGCGGAACTTTGACGGGAGTATGGTGCGCATCTGGATGCCGAATGGCGCGCCGGTGTATACCACGCAGACGGAGGCGCCGCCGGAGAAGTACCAGGATCCGGGGGTTATGCAGCAGTGGATGGCGTTTGTGGAGACGGGGAGGTTTGCCGGGGGGGTCATGCCGGAGGTTCCGCCGAAGAGGGAGTTTTGTACGTGGGATTTTTAGGACCTGAGACCAACGTGAAGAGTCAGATCGAGTGGGTGAAGAACAAGGGGAGTGGTGCGGGCTGTAGAGGGATGTTGATGGGGAAGATTAAGTTCTCTTGGAGGCAGGCGTGTTGTACAATGGTCAGCATCGTTGCGGCGTTGGGGATTTCTCTAATATGTGTCATGTAGCGACGTTATTGTTTCTTTCCACGGCTTGAATTGAATGGCATAACCACCGGCACCTAACCCGTGGACAATGCTTCTTTCTCTCCTCTAAACACCATCAGGTCACCCACTATCCTAGAGTTACCCAGCAAACCCACCACGGGCCATTTTCCTCGCCCTCTGGTCGCGCCGGTTATGATTCGCCCTGCTCCCTTTATTCGCCTCCTTCCTCCGCCGCGCAACATCCGAATCAGCAGCCGGTCCCGTAGGCGGAGCACCCCCTCGTCCACCCCCCCTTCCTTCTGACTCCTCAACCTCCCAACCCCTCGACCCTCAGAACCCCCTCCCATATC